GATGGACAAATCGAGAAATGGCGTGATAGTAGGCTTAATGAGAGAGTTCTGCTGCAGTATGTAAAATCTGGCGGACCGACGACCTCATAAAGAAGGGAAGGCAGGATGCAGGCCGCTACCAGCCGGGCGATGTGAAAATTATTGGGGGAGGCCTATGTTCAGCAGTGGACTTCCTGTGGCTGAAATGATGATGGTGATGATGTAAAATCATTAAGGTGTGCCCTACACGCTTGAAAGATCGACTGTCAACTCGAGTAGTAGCTAGTTTGATCATCGCTTCTAATACTAACTTAATATTTAGCTAGAAGTTAACGAAAATATTGGCAATTTATGTTTTACCCGATGATGATAGAGAATCAATAAATAAATTTGGCCAACATAAGGAGTGTTGTTTAGGCCAAATCCTCCATTTGCCTCTCGTAAATTAGAAGGTAGGGCTCCTGCTCAGTGAAAACTCAATGACCTGCCGATGAGAAACTTTTACTTGTCAAACAGAAACAGACAAAAGTAGGTAAAAGCTAGATAAAATACAAAACCAACATAAAATTCCATTAAAATATCAATGTTCAATTAATTAGACGATAATTTGTATGAGAAAAGTTTTTTTCCTTAATTAGCTCCCATCGTTATTACTATCTATTGGTTTAATCTTATTATGGGTTTAATTACCCCATTATTTAATTAAAAGTGCAAATAGTGTTACAGCACTTCAAGCTTATACCCTATAGAATCTTATTGATTTGTAAATAGAGGTTATATTGCAACAAAATACGTATAGATTGATGTGACTGTGAGAATCAGTGTTCCATGACGCTGTGATTTCTAAATTAATGATTAACTAACTTTTTCGTGCTATTTTCGATATTAACGGTTTTGGACACAATTCAAGTGGTTTTATTTTTTGTACTGAAACCTAATTCTTTTTCTGTAATATTTGTAGGAGGTAGTGATAGAGAAGAACCTAGATGCGGGCAGCGCAGGACCGGTCATTTTGGAAAACCTTTGGAGGGGCCTTTGTCCAGGAGTGGACGTCATTTGGCTGAAATGAACGAATGTATGAATATACCTAGCCTAAGTTTTATCTATACTGGTCATCACAAAAATCGGCCCTTCTACGTTTTACAGGAAAACTCGTTTCTACTGACACAATCATGGTGCCCCAACAATATTGGTGTTATTTTGAAAGCCCAAAGAAAAACATTTAATTTCTTAATAAACGATTATAAACGATTAACATAATACAATAAATGTGACTTGAAAAAAGTCCTCACTTTGGGCTCACCTCTGGGATCAATTAGACCAATTTTTATGGTCATAAAACCAAATAATGATCTCACGTGTCCTCTTTAACAGATGGATAGCGATTAATCCCAACTTAACAGTTTTATAGCCATAAAAGTTGGCTCAAGCGTAACTACCTATTTTTTGAAGACGGGAGTCTGCTTTCTTCTACAGACACATTTTTGGGGTAAAATATATAAATAAATAAATATAAATATCCTTGGACATTTTACACTGCGCTTCTAGTCCCAAACTAAGCAAAGCTTGTACTATGGGTACTAGACAACGGATATAAACATACTTAAATACTTTTTTAATAAAAACCTTTCCTTTAATGAAATGAAGTTTAGAACTAGGCTTTTAAATGGTGCCAATATTGGTGGGAAGTGGGGATACATACGTTTGAAAGTGCTTGTCGCGGGAGGGTCGATTTTTGTGATGACCAGTGTATTTTATTATTATTATTCTATTATTTAAAGCGAACGGTCACTGACTCACTCACTCACCACGAAATCTCAGAAACTACAAGTGCTAACAGTCACTTTGCATGGAGTTCCTTTTAGAACGTAGCTCACTAAGACGGGATTTTGCAAAATGCAACCCCTAAGGAAGTAAAACAGAGTCCACCGCGTACGAAGTTGCGGGCGGCCGTTAGTTCTTTCGTTTGTATCATTCAAATGATGTCCACTGCTGGATAAAGCTGACTTTCCCAAGGATTTTCACACCGGTCCAGGCGCTTCCTTCGACCCTCACCAGATCGTCGGTCCACCGAGTGGCCTACACACTCCATCTTCCGGTTCGTGGTCGCAACTGGAGAACTAAAACTACTTTTACTTTGTTATATTAAAAATATATTATACACCACTAAATTTTTATCACCGAAAAAATTTTAACATGTTATGTAGAAACGTGTGAAATATTTAAAGCAAAAGAAAAATAAATGTTTTTCATAAAGTTATTTTTTTTATTAAATTTCCTTTAGTCCGTATTTTACGTGTCACAGCTTTGTCACTCCGCTGCTCGCTAGAGTAGTCGTACGCTCTCGCACGTTGCATCGATCTGTCTGTCTCGCTCACGCCTCGTCAAAGCTTCCAGTGTTATTATTACATACTTAGCTAACTTAGACCATTCTGAATTCTAATAAGTGTTACATTATCGTACGTAAATAGTGCTAGCGACGCATGTGTCCATAAATTACCAATTTTAGGAGGAAATTTTGAGTCACTTTATTTAACTTCTTTTTTTGCACAAATGGGATCAGTATCTACTCATATCCTCAGTATCTACTCGTATCTACTCATTGCCCAGAATTGTTTTTTTTCGGTGATAAAAATTTAGTGGTGTATATTACCTTTGGGAAGGTGTTTTTGTAACGTCAAACGTCAGCTGGACTAGATCTTATTCACGTCTTATCTCTCAATTTGTCACGTCGTAATATCTATCAATATAACCCGCCCATACCTCAGGCACTGACTGAATTACGCGCTAACAGAATTACGCGCTAACAGAATTACGCGTTAGACCAATAATAACAAAGTTGTAATAACAAAATTCATTTTCCACTCTCAATGGACTATTTAAACTTCGCATCGAAATATTACTTTCCAAGTCGGCTGTCAGATGGGATCAGTGGCTCGATGTGTCTATTATAGGGTAAGCCGCTTAGTGCGGGGTCGGTTCCCGTCGTCCTGGCGGCAAATAAAACTATTGTGAAGGGTGAGGCGCAAGTTATAAGCTGAGGCTGTTTGGGATATCTACATTAATCATCATCATCATCTCAGCCATAGGACGTCCACTGCTAACATAGGCCTCCCCCAATGCTTTCCATAATTGCGGCCGGTTGGTAGCGGATATTTAAATTGCCTAGTCAATATTAATTTTGTTTACCTTTTGTCTCCACAATGTCAGCGTTCTTCAAAATAACGTAATGGTTTTCGTACTTTTTCTGTTAGTTTTAATTTTTTTTTAATAAAAATCCTTGTTAAGGCGATTAGAGTCCTCAATGACCTTGAGCGTTTGACCTTCACGCTTCGCACAACACCCGCGCACCCCGCACGAAAACTCCGATTTGACACCGATCAAAAATACACGGGCATAGGTAGGTACAGAATAGAAGCTCTTTCTTCATACATTACTGCCTATTATTTTAAACTTGAATTGATGAACCTTGATTTCGATGTCATTCAACCCAGGCGCAAGTGATCGCCCGAAATGTTCTAAACTAGCTCACCATATAGTAAGGTATTTATATTTAACAAAAATTACAAATCCATGAACATTTTGTATGGGATAATATTTTTTATTTTATTTTATTTAGCTTACAATGTATGTTGTGTGTAAANGAATGAAAGTAATGTTCGATTGAAAAACGCAACGTGTCATTTAAAGATTAAAGAATTCTTAATCTATTCATGCAAAAATCTTTAAAATTAACATAGCCGTTTGGGAGGAGTAGGGAATTGAAGTAAAAAATCGATGTCCCGTATTTATTTTTTTAATCCACAACAAAGAGACGTAGGAAAAATTCAAACGTGTCAAATGTAGTCCTTGAACTGTTGTATGACATATATTTTTTTCAACTATTTCTGTCCAGCAGTAAAAGAGGAGTAGGCTTTACAAAATGACCATTTTACGCGGATTGAGGACACTAATCGCCTTAAACCATTGCGACTATTCTATTGGCCAAAATCTGTAACTGATGACATAATTTTTCTAGTATTTTTTTTAAAGAAAATTGGCCTTATTTTGTATACCGCACATTAGTATGCAGAACTGACGGCCGATGGGGCAGCAAGGTTCTGGAGTGGAGGCCACGTAGGTACCTACCGGAAAGCGCAGCGTAGGTCGTCCACCCACAAGGAAGACCGACGACTGTTTCTTTTATATAAGAAAGATTAAGAGTAAAATATTTTTTAAGCTTTTTGTTGATATAGGTATGTCCATTAGCCTTCCGCTTCCGCCTACGTTTTAAAAACCCTCTGATCTCTTAATAAATTACTTTCAAGTACTTATATGACGTTTTAAGCACTCATTCGTTGTTTTTCCCCGCGTTTCGTTCGCTACGATCCGTATAAAGAGACTTTATGTCTGTCTGTTTGTGTATCGATGTGCCATCGAAATCTTTAGAGTTGTTTTGAAAGAATCGATTTTTCTTTAGATTAATCGATTGATGATAATGTTGTATGTGACTTTGCGGATTAAAATGCTATAACGTAGACAGTTATTTTATCCAAAACGAGGAAGCTCTTGGCCTGCATCTTACCTGATGGTAAGTGATGATCAGGCCGAAGGTGGAAGCGAGCTTCACCCGGAATCTTCAACCACGGGGGAACTGGCTATCTTACCTCCAACTGCCGGAACACAACAATGCTGTTAACATTGTTGGTATGGTGACAGACTTAGGTAAGATGGTGTGGAGCCAGGATGAACAAGCCCTACCACCGAGTAAAAATATTTTCCTCCCTCTGTGAATTTAACCCGGGACCTCTAGGTCTGAAGTATGATAATTATTATAATAAGATGGTGTACTTGTGTATAGTTCTTGCAACTCATGAAGGCGATTGAGCTTTACTTGTGTGTATACGTGTGTAAATGTTGTGTGTAAAACGAGCAGTAGCGGGCCACCACACATGTAAAGCTCACTCGCCTTCGTGAATTGCAACTACAATTACGAAAAGAAAAACCTTATTAATTAATTGAATATTTTATGGCCATTTTCATTTTATATTTGAGCAAATATCTTTTTACAAAATATCCGTAAAAAATAAGCCTTATCTATAAAATATTTTTAATCTAACTAAAACTAACATGGTCTGGTCCAGGGGTTCCCAAAGTGGGAGACTTTTAAGGGGGGCGCGGGCCATCTGTGTAGTTAAGTAATATAAAACCTGCGACGAATACATTCCAGACTGCTCGATACGACCAAAAAATATCTGGACTGGAGGAGGAGGGCGCGGATTTTTTTTATGGTCGAAAGGGGGCGCGATTCAAAGAAGTTAGGGAACTCCTTGTCTAGTCCATATCAACGTTTGAAAGGTCTTCTGTTATCTTCTTAACCTCTTCCTCAGTTCTCTTCTTTTCTGCCATTTTCTTTGCCTCTTCCTTTTTGATTCCATATAATCTGCAAGAAAAAATAAAAATTTATGTAAAAGCTAATAAAAGTTTCTCATATCGATTTATGCAACGCCATCTATCGATTGAGATAGTAACTAGTGTAGTACGTGCTTGATTTCCAGTGTTATCGATCTTCACTATCTTTGTAGTAAGTAGTAAGTTAGTATTGTGCTCATAGATGGCGTTAAATGCCAGAATCATAAAATGAATATGAATAAAACCATTTTTTCCGTGATTTTTTTAAAAAGACTCTTGATAGAAAGAAAGAAAATACCCAAAAAAAATGAAACAAAGTTGCCAAAAAAGGCCACTCAGTAACTGCCAAAATACTGATTTTCAGTGGGTGCCTTTAATGCAGGGTTTAACAAAAAAAAGAAATAAATAATAATGGAAAACATATTCAATAAATTATGATATTATATCATTATAATATTATATGATATGATATTATGTCATTTTTTCCTACAAATTGATGACCTGATGATGACAGAACTAGGCTATATCTTTAAAAAAAAACTAATATTTGCAAGTAGGCTTTTAAAAAGCACTTTTACACGTCCCAATATTAACCCTACCACTGCTTCAGGACAATAAATGAGCCAGTGAGCCAGTGCTGAGAAGAAGCAGCGCAAGAAACGCAGTGCTTTCTACTCTTACCTCTTCAAATCATCCAGTATATTCTTCGGCAAATTCCCAGGGGTAGGCTGGTGAATCTCATACTCCCCTTTCTCATTCTTCACCAGTTCCACAACCGATTCTTCCAAGTTCGGGACGTCACCGGGACGAGGGGGCGCGGGACGGGACGCCGGTTTCGGGTACTTCATCTTCTGTGCCCAGTTTTGGAGGAATTTACTGGCGTCCGTTTGGAGGTACTGAAAGTTTAAACAAAAAAAATATAAAGCTAACTGTATACTTTATGCTACATAATTCCTATAGCCACCTTTGTGGTCTAGAGGTCAGACCACAAGTGTCCAGAGTGTCAAAACTTTCTGCGGTTTGGTTAATTGTTAAGTTAGTTGGACTTGAACATTTGAATAAGCTCTACCACCATCTTATTTGTAACAGTTCTCCCTGAATTGGACGAATAAAATGCACTAAGCCGGCTTAAGACGGATGTATCGTGTAATGTAATGGAAATAGTATGGGCAGCACTTTACATGTAATGCTCGTAGTGCCGTCCACGCGCAGAATTTGTATTACATTACAACACGTAAAAGATTACGTAATGTAAGAACATTATTATTTTTATTACCTTTTCTCTATTTTTATTAATTTTCGGTGGCACTGGAGATGGCGCTTGACGCTTGCTGTTTGAAGAAGAAAAGCCTGTTCCCGCTGAAATTAGAAAAACAAGTTTAGATTAGAAATAAAATCATCCTCACTTTAAGCTCTAAAAATCTCAGAAACTTGAAATTTAGAAGATAGGTTATAGGGAGTAGGTAGACATCCGCTAAGAACGGATACCTCCACACTCCGCCCCTAAGGGGGTAAAACAAGGTAAGGGTCCACGCGTACAAGGTCGCGGGCGGCCGCTAGTTGACCATAAAATTGTTTACTATTTTACTTTACAAACAATTAAAACTAGCCCTCTCTTTTCAGAGTTGAAAAAAGAAGTGTTTTTCAAACAATAGTCTTGAAATATTTATGCTAGCCAGTTAAATATTGTGTCAAAACTTACTGAGATTCTTGGTGTTGGTCTGAGGTCCTAGCTCCAGCATAACTTGGAAGTCAGCATGGTTCCCGAACGCAAAGCCAAAACCGACTCGGGAGTCTGTGCCTGAAATAAACAATAATGATCATCAGGTCATTTAGTTTTCACTGCAGTAGCTCAAGCTTCTCTAATTTGCAAGCAAATGGAGGATTTGTCCTACACTCTTGGCCAGACGGGTTGGATGCCTGACCTTCGAGTATTTCTCGCTTGCGAAATCCATGTGAAGAGTGAGAGTCATGAGAGATGTCATGCCCTGAGTGCTCAAACAAATGCACTCAGGAGGATTTGATGAGTGCTACTGTCAACGCCACTCTTGTGGCGGAGTTTTGGGCTGACACTGTGTAGGTTTGTTGTCGACACGAAAAGAAGAAGAAGTGGGGGTGGAGACTATATTCGTCCATTTGCGACGACAGTGTGACATCTTCAATTAGATTAACACAGAAGATGTCACGTTGTCGTCGCAAATGGACGAATGTACTTTTAAGACACTGCTCCAAAGATCCTTAGACATTTTGCACAGCCCCATCTAGCTAGCCTTCAACTAAAGAACGAAGCACACTTAGCAACCTGGAAACGGATCGTAACCGTATCAACTCGAGGTGGTCAGTATTCTTTGTATGAAACTTCATACTTCAACGCATACACCAAATATATCTTTCCCTAGCACCACTTCAGTACGGGATGTTGTAGAAATCCTTGGGGGAAGCCTTTGTCCAGCGGTGGCCCCTTCAGGACAACATATCGACTGGTTGAGATGTAGCGGAAGAAACTCATGCTATTCATCATCATCATCATCTCAGCCATAGGATGTCCACTGCTGAACATAGGCCTCCCCCAATGCTTTCCATGTTGACCGGTTGGTAGTGGCCTGTGTCCAGCGCCTTCCTGCTACCTTTATGATGTTATCTGAACGATAACTTACCTTTCTTTATAGGAGGGATGTTGGAGTATGCCACTGATAGCAGCGAGGGCAACTCCTCCGGGATGATGATGGAACATGACCCTGTAAAATAGAGAGATTTAATTACAACTATGTAAAATTTAGCTAATTTATCTTAACGAGCTTTACTTTATTAGATCAAACCGAAACTATGAATACATACGAGTAAATCTTATACATAAGTTATTACAACTTCTTAATGGAATGGTGCTTCACATAAATGATATGTCGGGTTTGATTTTCGTACGACACTATCATTCATTACAATGAAAAGTTATCAAAATGAATGAGTGGAACATTATGAAAACTGTGATTATGTATCATATATGATAGGTATACATGACAGAGAAATAAAGGGAAGGTTATTATAAAATTAACCTAAATTAAAATAAAATTAAACTGGCTTTAGAAAACCAGTCATTTATTTCCAAATTATACGAAGTTAAATAATAAATGTGGATATGAAAAAATAAATCATTTAATTCATTTATAATTTAGTCGTGATTATTTGGAAAGAACGACTCTTTATTGACTCTAATTGGTAACTGACAGTTTACGAAACTCCAAAATGTAGTTTCAAAACAAAACTGGGTTCCTAATTGGTTAACCAAACAAAGACTGTCAGCTTTCAATAACAAATCTATGATGTACAACATTTCATTTCAAGTTCTTTTAAGTAGTAGATTTTCTATTCATAATTTAGTTAAATCTGGGGTGGGCACTAGACCATACTGGGGTGGCAAATACGAAACTCAAGTGGTTCGGGGGATATTTATAATAGGCTAGTTGCCTAAAAAAATTTTTTTAGTCCGTAATGTTTAATATCAAAAAATATTGGACACGTATATTTTTATTTGTCAATCTAACAAATAATTACATAGTTATGGTGCGTTGAAGTTGCGCACGACGTCACAACGTGCGGCATTTTTAAGCAAGCGTTGACGTCACGGGCCTCTTCTTATGTACTTTGGGCGCTTTATCTCTTTAAATTTTCATTAGTTTGAAAAAGTGAAAAATACGTGTAGAGTATTTTTTGATAAGTTAACTGACGGACTAATTAAAACTCTTGCTTTTTGACCCAGGCAACATCCCCATTGTTCTTACTGAGAAGCATCGCAAGAATAATAATATGCTCAATTGCACACGCTAGTAATATAATGAGTATTGATAAAAGTATGGCCCTTTGAATAAATTGAAGCCAGGAAAGCTCTGGATTGTTAGGCTGTAGATCTTATAGAGTTTAGGGTCAAAAACATTCCATAGCTTAAGATATAAGTATCCTAAAAATATTTCGTAAGAACGTACATAGATGTTAGAGTCAAAAACATTCTACAACTTAAGAAATATCCTAAAATACTGTCTTTACAGGATACAACTAATAAGTACCGACCACAAACCACACATTGCTCAACACATTGAGGCTGCGTTTGCGCAAGTTCTCGCAAGACCACAGATGTGGCGCCATCTTGACATTGGCACTAAACTCTTTGATCTTTGTGTGACATAACAAAGCAAAATGGCAGAAAATAAAAGACAAAATATGTTTCGAAGAGTCTTGACTTTTGAACCAATGGCTAAAGACGTTTGGGATATGTGAACATCAGGCCTCCCCAACCCGTCTGGCCAGCGTGGGGAGTGTAGACCAAATCCTCCATTTGCCTCTGGTAAATTAGAGGGTCGTGCTCCTGCAGTGGAGACCAAATGGCCCGATGATGCTGACGATTTGTTAGCAAGATTGCCCAAAAATATTGGAGCCGAGTTATACATCATTTTCACTTTTTTAAGTCTAGTCTAGGCACATGATTAATATTATAAAGAGGTAAAGTTTGTGTGTTTGATATTTGTTAAATTGTAAGGGGTAATCTCGGGATCTACTGAACCGATTTAAAAAATTCTTTCACCAATAGAAAGCCACATTATTGCTGAGTGTCATAGGTTTTATAAAAAAAACGAAAAATAACACGGGCGAAGGCGCGGGCGGAAAGCTAGTAAGTATTATGGGCATTTCTACGGGGACGACCGATCGACCTACTGGGGCGAAAAAAGTACCTTTAAAATGGAAGTACGGACTTGAAAAAAATCACACGTATTTATAGGACTCTTGACTTGATGGAGAGCATATTTAGAAGACCGCCAGGTTTTACATCTCGCCTTGAAGAAATCCGAAAGTTAAAAAACGGGCGAAATTTGGCCTAAAATGGAGTGTCCGGTTTCCAGAATTTACTCGTTTTTGCTTCATAACTTTTGAAATAATAACTTCCCCATTATGAAACCCACATTCACAGAACAAGGGATAGTTAATAAAGCTATATAAATGAGTTTCTTTATTGCAAGTCCTTGGGTTTTAATACAGTAACACATTTAAATTTTGTCCGACGTGTGTGCCTCAATTCCGTGATTTTTACTTTTGTGCTCCTATATCACTAACAACGCACAATACGAACACCCACGCCTGATTCCCATAAACTAGCAGTTGCACTCGAGTGGTCGAGCAGTATAAAAGAGGGATCAGTCGCTTTGAGGAGCATTTTTCAGAGGTTTGAAATCACTCAGAATTTTTGGTCACTGGTCATTTCTCAAACCGGTGTGCGACATTAATAATGTTCATGAAGTATTTAATGAGATTACTGCTGAATTAATTAAGTATTTAACTGATATCTGCCATTACGTTTGGTAGAAATCGTTGTAATTTATAATATTTTCGAGTAATTTGATGAAATGTGATTTTTCCTCAATTCCGTGGATCTCAATTCCGCGGAATATGGGGCATCGAATTGAGAAAACACGTACACCGAATTGATATTAAATGAAAATAGATACTTTTATTGTGCTATAAATTGTTTGTGTAACTTAAAATAATAATGAAATCAATAGAGCATAATAATAGGGTGAACTACCAATCATTGGACCGTACCAGTCATTGGACAGAAGACAATAAAACTAATTTTTTGAGGTTTCATTAAAAAAAATACACTGCTATTGCTATCTTATTAAAATAATTCTTCCAGGTTCTTCCCTCGACCTTCACCAGATCGTCGGTCTACCTAGTGGGGGCCTGCTCACTGGTCCGTGGTTTCCACTCGACAACTTTTCAGTCCCAACAGACATTATCTGTACGAGCTATGTGCCCCGCCCACTGCTACTTGATTTATGCAATTTTACGGGCTATGCCGGTCACTTTGGTTCTCTTGCCGATATTCACATTTCTGATTCTTATTAGGCTCATAGTAAGCGACCAAGTTTCACATCCATACACCATCACTGGCAACACACACTGGTAGAAGACTTTTGTCTTAAGACGCTGCGGTATTTCAGACGTAATAGCGAAGCTTCCCGATCGATGCTTAGCTGAGTTGAATTCAGCGATAGACCTCTTTCTCAAAGTTGGACCTAACTATCTGGACTCTTGTCCCAGGTATACACAATTGTCAACAACTTCGAGTGTAGTCTCCAACCTTCAGAGGAGTGGGTGCAACACGGACATTTGACATGATTTTTGTCTTGTCCATGTTCATTTTGAGACCCACTTGTTGAAAGGCTCTACGGAGGCCATGACTCCGATATCATCCCCGATATCGCGACTCCTTGGTCTTCTGTATAATCTGCCGTAGCGTACCTGTGTGTGTACCATAATACTAAAGCCTTTTCGGAAACAAGCTTGTTCGGAAGACTGGAAGTCGTCGAGTCTGCGAGCGAGATGATTCGTAAGGACTCTCGAAAACAGCTTGTAAACACGCCTCATAAGTGAGATGAGTCTATAATGCTATCACCACACTTCTGTGCCATGCCGGAGGCGTTTTTTCTTCGAGAATGACGGAATTGAACTGCTTCTGTAGAGCCTTTAGTACCGGCGAAGCTCAGCTATAATGCCGTAACACCTGGTGCCTTGTTGTATTTCAGCTATTTGAGTGCCATTTTAATCGTGTACAAACTGACGTCCGATATAATATCTTCGGTATAGTGTCAGGTCAATCTAGCTCTTGGGTTTTGCAATATTTGTTTTATGTTTAAGGTTAAGAATAAATAAACAAAGAGACCCTGTGTTATGTATTTATTTGTTTTATTTAAATAAAATTAAAATAATATATAAAAATTAAGAATTTATTATAGTTCCTTATTAAAAAATTAAACATATTGATTAGGATTTTTGTTTTATTCCATTGGTATTTCAGACACATAAACCTAAAATGAACCATCTAACTAATAGACCAGCAATCAGATATCAAAACGTTTTAAGTATTTATTATATTAATTATTGAAATACATTAGGTATTTCTTCATAATGTCATCAATTCTAAGTTTGCGGAGCGATTTTTATATTTGGAGATTCATTTCTCAATTCCGTGATTCATTTTCTCAATTCGGTGCTCTCTCAATTCGATGCTTAACATTTCTCATAAACCACTTCACAATATTTAGTGACAATGCTATTTTTACATTCAGAATGGAGTAACATTTATTTTTTTGTATTGAAACTACTTAAAAAACTAAATATAAATTTTAGCACCGAATTGAGAAAAAATACACCGTACAGTAGAAATGCCCTTAAAATACAAAGATATAACTACATATAGTGTCTAGGCACGAATTTTTGCGTATCTACGAGCAAATCAATGTTACTGTAATTATTCAAATATGTAGGATGCGAGTACAGAGTACATACATAAGTTAGCCATAAGTACTACATAACTGCATGTTTGCTGCAGAACTTGATAGAAATCTAGTTGTTTAACCAGTCAAATACTTAGTTTGAAAAACTGTATCCGGAGCACGAATACATATCATTCTCGTTATGGTATGGTAATCGTTTTTTTGTAGGAAAAACAAAACAGCGCCGCTACTATTGTAATAAGGAATACTATTACCTATCTAAAGAATCACTGCAGTTTTTCGTGCTCAGGGTACAGAACTCTTCACTGCAAACAAACCATTAAGTAACATACAGTAACACTATAATTCTCAAGGTCTATTTACTATACTTTAGTTAGCCATATTAGTTCCCATTCACTTGGCAATATAAATGATGTATAGCGATGGTAAACAAAGTAAATAATTTTGCCTTTTGTTTTACTATCATCCTACATTGAAAAGAAATCAATAATTATAGAACGTAGCTAATGTCTATATTGTGTAATGAAACTACTGCATTAGTTAAGATAGTTAAAAAAAGTTAGATCTTCTGTAAGTAATTATAACAACTATTTACAGAAAATAGATTTTTGAAAGAAAAGACCAGTGACCAGTTTTCTACAAGTATGTCGTCGTTACATTTATATCTATAAAAGCAAAAGGTCACTGACTGACTGACTCACTCATCACGAAATCTCAGAAACTACAAGTGCTAGGAGTCTCAAATTTTGCATGGGGGTTCCTTTTAAAACGCAGGTGCTCACTAAGACGGGATTTTGCAAAATTTAACCCCTAAGGGGGTAAAACGGGATCCACGCGTACGAAGTCGCGGGTGGCCGCTAGTGACGCGTTGATGTCTTTTGTATACTAGCGATAAAAATAAACTATTTTGGCTAAAACTCAATGTTTTTGAAGGTCAGTGGCGTAGCGTGGCTTTTCGCCGCCCGGGGCCGTCCGGAAATCCGCCGCCCTTTATTTTAATTATAAATATTTTAAAGTTTAAATATTATATTGAATGGACTTCAGGTACACTATTCACCTTATTTGTTGAAAGTCAAAATAAACTACCACGCACTGCTTCAGAAGGAAAATACATTAAAGAGAAGCAATTGCTTGAAACCCACAGGAAGTTTGATTTTCTTAAATAGCTCAGCTTTATTATGTAACACTAGGTGTATAAAAATAAACAATAATAACAAGTATTAAAGTATTTATTTGTCAATTGAGAGTAAATATTATCTTAAATTATACATATACAGGGTGACTGGAACTCAACCCGCCATAGCTAATACGACGCGTATAGAGGAGGTCATTTGCTAATTATTGAACCTTACTTTCTATGGCTAAAGTTTTATAGTTTAGGAGATATGTCAATTTTTATACTTTATTCAGATTTTTCCGAAATTTGACCTAAAAACTGCTTAATTTTTTTTTCTCGCATGATTTTAACCGATTTTTTTATTTGATACTAATATCGAATAAGCCTTTAGTCAAATAAAATAAATTACAGATCCAGATAATGAATTGAATTACTAGTTACGAGCCGCCAAAGTTCAACAAAAGTACGAACCACGATAAAAAATTCAAGTTCGAATTCGATTTAAAAAAAAACTTATGGTGATAATGGATTGCCAACAATTGCCAATGATCTTAAAAATATCTCTACCTTCTCTTCTTTCCAATGATATACCACACGTAGTAATTAGATATTGAAATTTACTAAAAATTTAAAGTTTATGGAAGAAAATGGAGTAATAATACGAAAATTATTCATACAAAGTTTCTTCAAACATCTCATATTTTCTGCTATACTCCTTTTCATAACTATTTTTGTGTGTTTTTTGACAAATAAATTTAAAAATAATAATCACATTATGAAAAAAAGATTAAAAAAAATTCAAAATCAACTTTGTATGGATAATTTTTGTACTATTACTCCATTTTCTTCCATAAACTTTGAATTTTTGACAAATTTCATTATCTAATTACAACGTGTGACATATCATTGGAAAGAAGAGAAGCTAGAGATATTTTTAAGATTATTGGCAATCCATTATCACCATTAATTTTTTTTTTAATCGAATTCGAAGTAGATTTTTTTATCGTGGTTTGTACTTTTATTAGATTTTGGCGGCTCGTAACTAGCTATTCAATCATTATATGGATCAGAAATTTAGTTTATTTGAATAAAGACATATTCGATATTAATATCAAATAAAAAAAACTGTTGAAATCATGCGAGAAAAAAAATTGAAGCAGTTTTTAGGTCAAATTGTGGAAAAATCTGAAAAAGTATAAAAATTGACATATCTCCTAAACTATAAAACTTTAGGTATAGAAAGTACGGTTCAATAATTAGCAAATGACCTCCTCTATACGCGTATTAGCTATGGCGGGTTCAGTTCCAGTCACCCTGTATAGTGCTCATTGAACTTAGAAGGAATAACATACGTACTTAATATTATTAAGGGTTGTACCCTAGCTAACCAGCGCCACCATATTTTTTCTTGATTACTTTTGTTATAGACCGAAATTAAAAAAGTGGTTTGAAAAATGTATACCTAATATGTATCGAAGCTATTTTTTAAAATAATTTGTTTAAATTCATTAGATATTTGCAGCAAGTTACAGATTTAATTACTGCTAAAAGTTACCATTTTAGCTAATTTTGAATTTCGAACTTGCAGAATATAATAAATACACGGTTTTAAAAGTAGCTTAGATATGGCTTTAACTATTTACAAACCATTTTTTTATTTCGGTTTGTAACAAGAGAAATCACGAAAGATTATCTGTGGCGCAAGTTTTAGAGGGGTAAGTAAGCTCCTTAAATATTTTTGTTACTATTACTTAAAAAATAGATTAAAAATGTACTCTTCGTGCTTTTTTCAAAGCAAAATCTTTTACACAATCGTCGATATCAAATTGTATCTCATTTTCAATTGCCAGTATAGCTAGATTTGTTAGTCTCAACGTAGACATAGTCGGCCTTTTTTTTCTTGTTCATGCAATGTTTTTTTTCTTATCCGCCGCCCCCTTTCATATGCCGCCCGGGGCCATGGCCCCCCCTGCCCCCCCCAAGCTACGCCACTGTTGAAGGTATGTACGCTTTCTACATTTAGTTTTTACCGCAGGAATGAACCAGAAGCAAATGGAGGGTTTGGCCTAAATCTCTGACTCTCCTCCACTCCTTTCATTTAATTAGATATATTTCTGCTCAGAATTGAACTCGCAACCGCAAAGTGTTGTTTGAAAACCACCATGCCAACTAGGTACAGTAATTTACAATTTGTAAGACTTTTATTTTCTTATTACGTACTCATAATTTGATTTTCCTTCCGCTAATGTTTTGTTTTTAATCACGAAAATAACCAATCATGTGTAATTTTTAGTGTCAAAAAACTTATTCACAAAAAATAACTTGAAATCTATGAAACCTGATAAAACTAGTTACAAACAAACGTAACACAATGTAACAGAAACTAGGTCAAATGGTAACACGCAAAAACTATTTTATGCCCAACTCGGGTTATATTTAACCACCGAACATAACTTTCCAGCGATACAAATAATTTTGCAACTGATTAACTCACCGTATTTAAGCAGGAACAGGAAAAAACACAGTTTCACAATCATTTTGTAAATCACTTGTTGTTAATTATCATAAAGTTTTTAACATTGTACAAAAACTAAACCTCCTTGGTCACTTTTTTAACCTTAGCTGTGATTAAAAAACAATAAAAAAGTAAACTGTCACTCCGAGTTTTGCCGCCAAAGTGAGCCAAAAACATATGACTGCCGTATCCCACTACGAACAGTGACGTAAGTGAAAGCAAAACGATTAACTTATTACTTTATTACGTAGGTGATTAGGTGGGAATTCTCTTGCAATGAGTAATACGAACGCGCTAGTGTGTTCGAAATGTAAATTATGTGAAGTTTGCATTTACACAAACTAACAAAAAACATTTTGAACCTTTGTGAATTGAAAATAAAGTGCATTATTGATTGTTTCGTACACACGTATGGTTTATGTGTGCGTTGTCCATTCACTTCAATGAATTTAATGTTCTGCAACATTGGTTCAAGGGTTTTATCAGTTGAATTTCTAATTTACTGCTTACATAATAAAGTATTATTTTGAGTGCATACTGCCGTGATGTGTGACCTTCTAGAATACAGCATTGAGCACTTTCTTCGGAACTTTCAATAAATAGAAAGAGACAGCTGCTGTAGAAAGTGACATGTGTATGGATAGTATATCTCCGTCTCTTTTATATGACATAATATTAAATAATCAACTGTCTAGGTTTGTGAGAAAAAGGATAAAAGTTTACTTAGAAAGTCGATGACCCTATGGCGTAGTGGCTCACTGCGTCACACAGTAAGTCACAGGTTCGATTCCTGAATGGTACATTTTAAAAATCAATCCATATGGTTCCGACAGACAAGTCTATTCTACCACCATGAATACCCGTGGATGTCGCAAGAGGCGACTAAGGGACAAATATGCGAACATCAGGCCTCCCCAACCCGTCTGGCCAGCGTGGGGAGTGTAGGACAAATCCTCCATTTGCTGGTAAATTAGAGGGTCGTGGTCCTGCAATGGAGACTAAATGACCTGACGATGTTGACCTATTTATTAATAAAATACCTTTTAAGGTTTGTGAGAACCAATAATCTAAAATTAAATGTACAAGTTATATGTCGAAATGTTAAAGTATGTCAACGAATAAAAACCAACGCCTATAGTAACCTCGTGGGAAAATCATTTGAGTTGGAAACAATTACTTTTAGAATTCCTTACTTAGGTTCGAACAGTCCTTAATGTTTATTTTGAATTTTTTTATTATATCTGGGTTCATGGATTGTCTGGAAGACATCGCTTCTCAGGGATAAGACCCCCTTAAATTCGTCGTATCTAATAAAGAGGAGGTTTCCTTTGCCTGTTGTATTTTTTTCGTTATTTTAGCTTTGACATTTTTTATTTATTCTTAACAAACAGTATATTACGTTTACATACCTACTATCGGGACTATTCCCACCTCTCGTTCCCACCGCTGCAACTCCTGTGTAACCAGGATCTACAGCTTGACCGCCAATAAAAACCCAACCAAGTGAAGGTGAAGTGAAGGCCAAGTTTGTCCCGGGAGAAAATTGAACTGTTTGTAAGGGCTTGTTCCCACGGAGACATCCTGTTTTTTGCAGGATCCCGTTTAATAGGATACGTGTTTTAATATTAACGTTCACACGAACATCCCGTTTACAAAGTCCCACTAAAAACCGAATCGTTAGAATTTGTAATTCGAATTTCAAACACACATAATACTTATGTGTTTCCACGACAGTCCAGTTTTGCGGTATTCTGCATCACTGGGAATGAGCCCTAAGTAAAATGTAGGTACTACTTAGAAGTTCCGGAACAAAAACATATTATACAGAACCCGCTATCTTTATGACAACTCGCTCTTAAATATTAACCAGTAATTAACTCCTTGTGCCTAAGCTGAGACCTATCATTCGACAATCAAACTCCGTAAGGGTCGCGTCACCTAACTGGGCGGCCATTTTGTTTTGCCTTGACCTCAAATGGCGCGCAGGATCTTTTTGGCGTTCTTAGCTGTTTTCGGGTTTAGTCGTAAGTTGAATTTTATTTTCTACATTTTCCTTTTCATAATGTGACGATAAAATTTAGGTACCTAACTAACCCAAAGCGGAAGTGCGGAACCAGAGTTTTGCAATTTTTATAATTCGTGAAACGTGAAAACCAAACCTAGTAGTGGAGACAATACAATTTTTTCGGTTCAATATCATCCACAGAGGCACGAGAGCAACTCATTTTCGGTTTTAGTGTTTCATCGTCATCATTTCAGCTACAGGAGTCCACTGCTGAACATAGGCCTCCCCCAATGATTTCCACATCGCCCGGTTGTAACGGCCTACATCCAGCGCTTTCCTGCTACCTCCATAAGGTCGTTCGTCAGTCCGCCATGTGGATCTCCCATGTTGCGTTTTCCGGTACGTAGCCTCCACTCCAGAACCTTGTTTAGCTTTAATATTTACCTTGCTTAAAAGCTGTTTCTTACAGTTATGCCGGTAAGCTGCATCATCTTCGTGGTCCCAGAAGATGTTCCTGCTGGATTCGCTACCATCTATGGCTTCTCACCACGGCTACTGAAAGGTAGGTCTTTATTTATATCAATTTCATGATTTTTACTTAAGTACCATTTGGTCGCCATCCCAGTGCCCTAGTCACTTCTGAAAATACTGAGTTGGGGACCTAATAATTTAGCAGCGCAGAAACGCGTGGTGATGGTGCCTGAAAAAAAAACGCGATTTGCATCGATTCTTAGATATTTTTTGCCAAAGAAACGAATTCTGAATCTTTTCTGTTCTATAAATCACTCTCATTACTGTATTTATTGATATTTTTGAGAAAATTACAAATAAGTAGGTACAATCAGAGTCAAATAGTTCCTGACACCCCAAAAAAATTGATAACACTACTTTAATCCAATTGTAACAGTCGTGTTGCGATCTTTTTGGATGCTGTCTGTACTGTACCTAGTTCGTTCGCTCGTTCGTTTCAGCAGGCCTCCTACTAGGTGGACCGACGATCTGGTAAAGGTCGCGGGAAGGGCCTGGATGCGGGCAGCGCAGGACCGTTCATTGTGGAAAACCTTGGGGGAGGCCTTTGTCCAGCAGTGGACGTCATTTGGCTGACTGTACCTAGTACCTATACAAAAACTGTAGCCTCAACATTCATTATTTTTCCCTCAAGCAGACCATTCTCTTTTTTAACCGACTGCAATGCTGACCATGTTTAACTGTCACAGTCAACGACCATCGCTTCGGCTTCGGTTTCCGTCTTGGCAACCAAGCAGACTTCCAAGTCATGTACGAGCTGGGTCCTCAGATGTACACCAAGCCTCTGCAACCTGTCCGTAAGTAGATGCTGTTTTATTTCAATAGAGATCGTTTCATCCACTCGAACGCGCCCCACCAATTTTTGGTCTCGGTCGCGCGGGGTGCGGGGAGTTTGATCCGAGCAATCCGAGCGTCATTATTGCAGTGTGCGTGTGCACTCAAACATTAGAGGAAGAATGGTGGGGCGCGTCTTCGTGGATGAAACGATCTATAGATAATTAATCATCAGATCATTTAGTCTCCACTAGGAGTAGCAGCACGACTTTCTAATTTACCAGAGGCAATTAGAGGATTTGGCCTGCACTCTACTCCCCACGCTGGCCAGACGGGTTGGGAAGATTTGATATCCGTATATTTTATCCATTAATCGCTTTTTACGATATCTATTCGAAGAGTGGAGGTGGTCCTGTTCCACTGCTGAAACCACAAGTAACTCAGTCTGTTAACCGATTTAAGTGTTTGATATAGAGAGCGCAAAACCCTAGGATTGCATGTTGAAAACATAACCCTTCTTCTGGCGCAGTCGGGTAAAAAAGGGGACACGCGCGTGGTACTTAGTCTCATTCAAAAAATATAAAGAGGAAAGAATTTTTATTGATTCATGGCGTCCAATGCATGCAATAGGATAATCACAGCAATAGATGTCTTTTGATTGATCTATTCCATTTTGGGTATAATATTACGAGTAAGTCCACTTTAATCACCTAGGTGATGGTCCATAGGTGATCAAAGGACACCAAAGTGTCGCCTGGAGTCAACTTTGATCACCTGGGTAATCCAATCACGTAAGATGTGGAAGTCATTGGGGGAGGCCTATGTTTAGCAGTGGACTTCCTGTGGCTGAAATGATGATGATGAAAGTGGAATAGACCTTTTGGTTGAAACGAAAGAAAATCTTAATCACTTGATTTTTTCACAGGAGTCCGCTCAGCAACTTACCGTGAGAGGGTAGTAAGGCGGCGCCCTCTGCTGGAGTTCCTGCTAAACCTCGGCATCCTGAAGGAGACCTCGTACTCCTTCAATGTGGTGCATGATGACCAGTGCAACGATGAGCCGAGATGAGTAAATGGATTGGAGAATTTTATTATGATTTTTGTTTCATAATAATTGTAGTTATATTTTAACCTTTCTTACGCCCGTATTCACAAACGATGCTTGATTAAGTGAAGCAGCAAATCGAACGCATAGCGTTGAATAGCTCTGTGATTGGTTCGTTTAAGACCCGGTGCGTCCACGCGCACTGTGAGACCTCATAGTAATGTTTGTGGATACGGACGTTTGTCTAAAATAAATGTTTTTTTTTACTTGCTATAAGTTTAGATAACACTATTTCGGTCTCATTACTTCTCAAACTTCTGCCAAGTTAGCCAGATTTTTTTAATGATAGATTTGGAAAATAAAACAAACAAAGAAAATAATTGAATAATTGTAATATTGTAATCATTAATAACATTAGTCTTTTCTTTAAATGGCAATACAATTTTGAACATTAAATAAAAAGTATCTACACGACCGACGTCAACACGTTGACATCGCCACAGCTAAAAAATAATAAAAACGCGCGCTTTGGGACCTGTCAAAGAATAATCTGTGCAAGCTGTCAACGCGAGACCATAGAGGTTACAATAAAAAAAATCTCGCGTTGTTTAAAAAGTGAGGCATTTGCTAAATTATTTTAAGAGATTCATAAAGTGTGAATATCTTTCAGTTATAAAAAAATTCAAATGCCAAACTAATTTAAATGATATAAAATGTTAACAAAACGAAAGGTAACCACAAATTTGAGCTCTAAAGTTTTTTTCACAAGTTATTGGACGCTTAAAAAAGCATGTTGTAAACTAAAACTCTATTTACAAGCAGAAAAAGCCGCATGCGAACCTACTACGAGACCTTCAATTGATATTGGATTTTATACCTTCGAAAATAGGGTTAAAAATCGATTGTTGAAATTCCGTGGTAGGTTGATATACGGCTGTTACATAAAAAGAAAATAATCATTGGTACTTTCTTAAAAAGAAGAAACTTAAAACGAATAAAAGTTATTCTTATTATTTACACCTTTCAAGAAAAATGACATACAGACGACAGCACGTCAACCATACACAGTTGTATCTTAATCTCTTAGACGATTTTGCCAAAAAATATACAATGTATAGGTTGATGTGCACTCGACTGTAAATTTTTTGAAACTTAATTTTAGTTAAAAGCGTAATCAAACGTCAGTTTTTAACTAAAAAATGCACTTTTACATTATATAAAAAAATTGCCTAATTGTGACGTATTTTAAATGGAAATAAAAACACTTACAGACTACAAATAACGTTTACCTAAGGACTTTAATAAATTCATAATAATAGTTAGTTAGATGTTAATTTATTACACATCTTAAATTAATCGTGTGGCTCCCAAAAATATTATAAAATTGCTTTAGAGTGTAACAAACTCTCTTTCGGCAATATTAAGGTATTATTTTTTAATATTCAAAGTAATTAATTAGATATAACACTGCATTTAATATTAAACCTTTAACGACATTTTCAACCGACTTCAAAAAAAAGGAGGAGGTTCTCAATTCGACCCGTATGTTTTTTTTTTTTTTTTTCTATGTTTGTTACGCGATAACTCCGCCAATTATGAACCGATTTAAACAAATCTTTTTTCGGCGTATAGGTAATACCTCAAGGGTGGTCCCATTTAAATTTAATAATAGAAAAAACTACCCCCAAGGGTGGAAAATTGGGGATGAACTTTTTTATACGCAATATCTCCGCCGATTATAAATCAATTTGAACGATTATTTTTTTGTTGAATAGGTATTATCAAAAGGGTGGTTTCATGCGAATTTGAAGAAAATATTTCACCCCTAAGGGTGGAAAATTGGGGATGAACTTTTTTATACGCAATATCTCCGCCGATTATAAATCAATTTGAACGATTATTTTTTTGTTGAATAGGTATTATCAAAAGGGTGGTTTCATGCGAATTTGAAGAAAATATTTCACCCCCAAGGGTGGAAAATTGGGGATGAACTTTTTTATACGCAATTTTTAGTTTTTTTTGTGTTCACGCATTTGAAGTCGGTTTTATTTTTTTAAAAAGTTAATATTCATATTATTTATGAAGAACAAGGCAGGTATTTGACTTCTGTAGGTCTAGACAAGAGGCACTTTTTAATCAAATCGAAAATCGAATCCGTTTACGGCGGAAAAAAGGCCTTTCGACCGTTTTTCGACCGTCTTTCGACATCACAACTGTCAAGATTTAGCACTTGTCTACGGGGGCTGATTTTAAGTATGATGCAGTCTAGCATTTTGCTGAAAAAGTACACTTAAAATAATATTTTTGGGACACCACACGTTCTTTTTTTCGAACAACGCGAGATCTTTCCAATTTCAAACACAATCAACATGATTGGTGGAAGAAAACTTTGAAGTAACGTTATAACGGTAAAAATTGAATCGTTATTACAATAACGGTATTATCTCACGTTGTTTTACAATCGCTCGTGAAACTGTATCTTACAATAGTCTGCTATTTACAGTAATCTTTCGACTTTTCAATTCCAGTTTCTTTTATTGCTTACCCTCGGTTTTTAATTTGGCGCGAAAAATAACGGTTTTTTAAAGTGTCAAACAAACTTTTCTTGCAGTGAGAGCTATCGTTTTTAAACTTAGCAGTTGGCACCACTGGCGATTTACATGACCTTAGTCTACAGTGTCGCCATCCTGGTGAGTGCAAATGCGATAGCCCTACCGCTTCAGTGCTCATCAGTTGGCGCCACTGTCTTCGGTACTAAAGTCCGGTCGCCGAGCACGTAAAATTGCGTCCAATGACCCCAAGCTACCCATCCTTATCGCTTGCGGCCACCCGTCGCACAGTCGCGACAGCAATATAATTACGCACGAGCGATAAGGATGGGTAGCTTGGGGTCATTGGACGAAATTCTATGTGCACGGCGACCGGACTACAGCAAATGACATTGACCTTACTCTACAGTTTATCGCCAACTGGTGAGCGCTAAAACGATAGTCCTCATTACAATGTTAGCAATGCTGAAAAGCTGTTCTAAATTTTTCGCTGTTTTACAATGTTGAACTATATTACGATAGGTTAAGGTGCAATTTATCAGGAATAATGCAGAATCCCTGCGCACAGCTGACTGTATATTTATTTATTTATATCAGACATCATCATTCTTAGAACGTGTTAAATTGACACTCATTTATTTTTATAAATGGAATGATATTTTAAATGCAATATAATTCTTCAGTTGTTTGTGGACATTTTAGAAAAGTTAGAATAGTTTTTTCAAGGAGTCAAACAAAAAAATAAGAAAACAGTCGTTACTGGCAACATTAAGAATATAATTTTTTGATGTATTGAAGAAAATATCGAATAAAGGCTTAAAAGAAGAACCCAGTGAAAAATATACATAGATACAGAAAACATAAGTAGAATTTTAAGTATGTCCGAATAAGGAATGATTTAAAATTTTATTTTAAAAGTAAGTAGTTATGTCTTTTCTTTCAACATCCTAAATAGGACGTAAGACCACCAAATTTCAAATTCAAATTAAAAATACCTGATCACAATTCAAATTAAAGTAAAACCACACAATTTTATTTTTAGAATAAAATCACGTTTTACACGATTTGCTGATCAGTACAAATTTTGATAAATATAATATAAAATAAAAGTTATTTTGATAATCAAATATACACATTATTTAGTAAAAGAAATTTTGACTATTTTCTTAAAACCTAAAATCATATAGATAGGGTTAATTTAAATATAATTAAGAATCTATGACAATTTCAAAAAGTAGGTGAGTTTTATGTAATTTTTATTGAATTAATAAATGTATTGTTTCAATTATTTACCCGTATTGTTCAAATCAATGCGATTAATCAAGTATTTGGAAGTATAGGCCGATTTAAGTATTCCACGATCTGCTACAAAACGAAAACTTCGCGATGGATTTTGAAATATCCTTTGTTTGTAAGGTCTAAAATTGAATAGGACAATTCAATTTGTAGCAGATTTTTAGTCTTTTTAACATATTTTAAAGATATGGTGCTGTAGCAATAATTACATGTTTTTACACAGTACACACGACAGCACATTAAACTAAATACAGTGGCATTTTACCTCATTGTACAGTCAGCTTCAAACAGTTCGTGACACCCAAAGTGGCCAAAAAGTTGATAACACAACCTTATTCCAATGAGGGCTATCGTTTTAGCGCTCACCAGTTAGCGCCACTGTAGAGTAAGGTCCTGTCACTTGCTAGTAGCGAAGACAGTGGCACCAACTGGTGAGCGCTAAAGTGGTAGGAGGACTATCGCATTTGCACTCATCAAGATGGCGCTACTGTAGTGTAAGGTCCTGTCAATCGCCAGGGGTGCCAACTGTTAAGTATAAAAACGATAGCCCTCATTGTAACAAAGACGTGTCGCGAATTTTTTGGCTACTTTGGGTGTCACGAACTTTTTGACACGGACTGTAATACATTTTGCAAGAAATGTAGTCTTTTATGCTGTCGACTGTACCTTAATTTCATTCACGATTTCCTTCCAATTCCAAAGACTTCAACTCTTAAACTAAGACTTAACAACTCGTCGTAAAGTCGATTTTCGATTCGCACATCACTTGAGTCACTTTCAATATGTCAACGGTTTAGTGTTGTAACTGTAGTACAGATTCGATATCGATAGTACCGGTATTACCGATTGTTATCGATACTATTGACAGCTTGATTGACTGAGGGCAATACTTCTTATAAATAAAAATAATATAACATTGAAATGTATTAAAAAATACACAATAATATTTATCAATCATTACTAGAAATTCAATTTTCTTATCAAAATGCGACTCGTTAAGTATTTTAAGAAAATTATTTAATAAAACTTCGATTCATTATTACCATTCTCAACATTTTTATGTCAAAATAATATCATTAACTCACAATGGCATAGGAAAGACAGTGACAGTGACATTTCTATAGTATTGCACTCAGTCAATGACATAACATACACCCTTAGACAATGCAATAACCATTATGGACTCGACAAAATCTTACCCCCTAGACTAAAGTAACATTAGTGAAAGTTTTAATTTCAAAATCACTTCACAAATACGGCGGTACGAAGCGTTACAATGAGGGTTTTCGCGAATGAAAAATCCGCCAGATGGCAATACGTAGACGCGAGGTCCAAATGCTGCATGATTGGTTATTTTTGACATGACATTGACAGATATGTCAAAATCCACCAATCACGCAGCAGTCAGACCCCACATCCACGTCCCGCCATCTAGCGGATCTTTCATTCGCGAAAACTCTCATTATAAACGTCACGTTTATAACATTTTATAGTGCCGTCAATAGTATCGACAAAAGTGGTTTTCGGTATTCGGATCGGTAGCGATCAACACTATTCTATCCTGTAAGCGCTCGGAATTACAACTGTCACGTTCTTACTTCGTCTAAGGAGGTTCGCTGTCAACAGTATCGATATAACTACCGATACGCTACCGATTGACACTGTAATAACTGTCAGCACTCGGAATCGCAACTGCCACGTTATTACTCTGTCTAGGGAGGTTCGCCGTCAATAGTATCGATATACCTATCGATAAAACTACCGATACGCTACCGATTGTCGCTGTACTAGCTGTCAGCGCCATCTCTCGCGTTGGGAGGCAAGCTCTGCGGGCTCTGAGAGAATTGGTTCACCATTTTGCTTTGCATCATGTTTAGAAGGATATCTGAGTACTGCTCGATGAGAGACATCGCTGGATTCCCGGCGTTGTTCGCTTCTGGAAAAGATATATTATTTTGTTAGAAAACCAACAGTTTATTAATTAATTTATTTAAAGACTTTATTGCACACACAACAATGTTCAGTACAAAAAGGCGAGCTTAATGCCATAAGTCATTCTCTACCAGCTGACCTTGAGAAAATCAATCAAATCTTGAAATCAATGAAATTAATGTCTAGTTTGCGACAAAAGTAACTGAAAATCATTTGGGAATGGAACCTGGGACCTCTGGATCTAAGACAGGTGACCAGGTGGTCTAACCACTAACCACCAAGCTAGTAAAATCAAACTACCTTTGGAGACCAGGTTCTCTAGGAACTGACAATTATTATTTGGGAATGAAATCCGGGACCCCTGGATCCCAAACAAGTGATCTTAATACTAACCACCAAGCTAGTCTAAACTGACTGACTGACATAGTGATCTATCAACGCACAGCCCAAACCACTGGACGGATCGGGCTGAAATTTGGCATGCAGGTAGATGTTATGACGTAGGCATCCGCTAAGAAAGGATTTTACGAAACTCCACCCCTAAAGTGGTCCCCGTACGAAGTCGCGGGCGGCCGCTAGTCTTCTATATCTATAAAGGCGAAAGGTCACTGATAGAGTGACTCACTCATCACTAAATCTCAGAAACTACAAGTGCTAGGAGTCTCAAATTTTGCATGGGGGTTCCTTTTTTAACTTAGGTGCTCACTAAGACGAGATTTTGCAAAATTCAACCCCTAAGGTGGTAAAACGCCGCTAGTAAATAAATAAACTACCTTTGGAGACCAGGTTCTCTAGTTTCTTCCTCGTGGAGTCGACGTTAGGCCGACAGTCGCCTTCGGTGGACGACAGGCTGCTCAAGGCGTCGCCATTTTGTGTTTGTCTGGACACGGCGCTCTTTAAAACTTTCTGCGTTTCTAGTATCGCCGCTTCGAGTCCTGGAAAGACATAAAATTGAAGTTTTAATAAGTAAATACAATGCCAGCCTATGCTAACGATATGTCTATTACTAAACAGGTGGTTGTCCTGACTAACCACCAGTCCGCGTACACTTTCCACAAGGTCAGTGCATCGAATAGATGGCAGTAAAACTAACGAGAAGCCTGTCCATCAATAGGTGGTTATCCTTACTAACCAGTAACCTCTAATATCCTCGAGCAGTTAATAGTAGTATAGTAACGACATTATTTTGAACTTTATTACCTTGTATCAAGGTCCAAAACCTGTAGGGAAGCATACAACTGGACCACCTAGTCATAGTTACTCAGGCATCCTAACTAAGTCAGTCTGTCTTAAGATGGTTAGTCAGTGTCTGGTGGTCTCATAACTAACCACCATACGTTTTGTGGTGGTCAATTCATCTAATTCCAGCCCGATCATCGACAAGCGGTTATGTTTACTAACCATCAGCCTCTATAAACTTACCACAAATATCGGCAGCAGCCCCGGGTTCCCTTTGTAGCGAGGCATACAGATGGACCATCTTACACGCCATCTTAGTCAGGCATCCTAAGTCAGCCTGCCTTAGCAATATGATTACGCGCGAGCGATAAGGATGGGTAGCTTGGGGTCATTGGACGAAATTCTTTCTGCTCGGCGACCGGACTTTAACCACGAATCTCCAACTCACCACTAATATCGGCGGCAGCCCCGGGTTCCCTCTGTAAGGAGGCGTACAACTGGACCACTTTACACGCTGTCTTGGTCAGCTGTTCCGTTAATGCTGAACAAAGTTGCGATGACGACACTGTGACAAACAAAAGATTCTAATTGTAGTCATGAACAAAAATTATTCATTGGAATAGTAAAACAAATATTAAATACATGTTTGTTCTCGTCATTGTACATATAGTATTTGTGGCATAAGAGTATTTTATTTTGCTTTGGACGTAGCTAATATAATAAATGTTTTTTTAGATACGCCTACGCGCCTTTTTCAGTCTTATTAAATCACCGTTTTACTTTTTACGTCCCCCGGGACAAACTTGTCTTTCACTGGTTGGGTTATTGGCGGTCAAGCTGGAGTTGCAGCGGTGGGAACGAGAGGTGGTAAGTCCCGTATACTACTTCAGTATCCTTTAGTTGTTTATCGAATTTATGAGGCTCTACAAGAGAAAGAACTCACAGTTAGCGTCCGGCGTAGACTCCTGTTTAGGCGGTCTGCTTTGTCGCGTATTGGACGTCAGTCTTGCGGTCACCTCTCTCGCTTTCGCGGACAGATCGCGTTCGCTACCGCTGCGGCCTGCGGTCAGAAACACCATTAGGTCATTAATGCCTGTTTTCACCATCAATCCTAGGGTTTCTGCTCGAGCTTTCTCGAACTCGAGAAAACTCGAGAAATTTGGCTTCATTCGAGACGAGAAAAAAATTACCGGAGCTCGAGAATTCTCGAGTTTCGATTTTGAAGCTTTAATATTCTTGAAAGCCTATTTTCTTAGACAAAAGATAGTTTTTAACATTGCTTTTAGACTGGCCCAGTCTTTCCTTTTTTAACTGATTTGATTTGCAAGTAATGATCTCAATCTGTATTTATTACTAGCTTTCCGCCCGCGGCTTCGCCCGCGGATTCGCCCGCGTGGAAATTTGTCTGTCTCAGAAAAACTTTATTGCGCATGTCCCTATTTCAAAATCTGAAAAATCTATTAACTGTCTGTTAGGTTAGGTACTCGTGCCTCCTCGTAAAGTTTATTCAAGTCGTTATCTTTAAGAAATTGGAACGTTTATTAAAAAGTTTGTTTGGTTTATAAAAAAAAAACTATTTATCGTAATTTTGCTATTTGGACTTGTGTTCTTTGGAAAACAAGTGATTAAATTGTAACTCCATATTAGAACATTTTATTGTTATTTATCCTTAAAGTACACGCGAATTTATGACTTTTGTTATGATTATTAGTTAATATTATTAATTATGAAAGAAGATTTTATTTTTTGTTACTTTCCTTACCAAAATAAGTGGTACTAAATTCTAATATTGATTGTTGTTCAATAAGTAGGTATAATAGATTAAAAAACATGTGTTTTTATTAAATTTCGACCGATTTCAACAGTTTTCATTAAAAGACTCGAGACCCGAGAAAACTCGAGAGTTTGGCCTCGAGAATTCCCGAAACTCGAGAAAAAAAATAGATCGAGAAATCAGAAACCCTAATCAATCCCTAATTTTTAAGTGACCCCTATGGTAACAAATAACCGGAATTTTCTTTACATAGGGGTCACTTAAAAATTAGGGATTGATGGTGAAAACGGGCTTTAGTCTCCAATGCGGGAGCACGACCCACTCTAATTTATAAAAGGCAAATGCAGGATTATGGAAAAAGCCTCCACTAAAGTGGAAGAGGCTCATAGTCCTGTGGACTGTTTTGTTGGTGATGATGATGAAATGCTGGATTTGATCTTCACTTCCCCAACCTCAGACGGGTTAGACCAAAAAATATAAACTAACAGAATTAATAGTCTATAGATAAGCTTTTTTGAGCAATACATACAATACTATTAATAACGATAAATCGATAGTATCGATTTTGTTGTGATTTCTAAGGCGGTTATCACACTGCGCCGCGCTCCGCCGCAGAGCGCGGGACGACACACTGACAACGCGTCTGCGCGCGGGATTTTTTATATGAAATCACGCGGACCGCGGCGGAGCGCGGCGCAGTGTGATAACCGCATATTAGCATTAACCAAAAACAATCGGTACTATCGATATTGAAACTATCGATGGTTTCACAACACTAGTTAAAAATCAGCTGTTTATTTTGTATGGAAATATATTTTTTACGGTTTACTCTAGATGTTTCGCGCTCGCACACTCACTGCGGGCGCCAGTCGCACAGTCGCGACAGCAATATAATTACGCGCGAGCGATAAGGATGGGTAGCTTGGGGTCATTGGACAAAATTCTACGTGCTCAGAGACCGGGATTTAGTCTTAAAACTCCACACTTACCGATCCTCCTCTGGGTATGGTCTCTCCTCGGCCTCTGAACTGGACTCGTCCTGCCCGCCCGTCGACAAGCTCACTAAGAGGTCTTAGCACTTAATACTGGCAACACTTATCATGGCATTTTTCTTGAATGATCACACTTACTTACCATGACATTTGTTTTAAAGCTGGCAACACTTACATTATCGCTATTCTTAAATGACAACAGTTACCATGACACCTCTCTTAAATCTGGCAACACTTGTCATGACACTTTTAATGCAACACCATGTTACTTGTCTTAAAGCTTGCAATACTAACCATGACACTTATCATAAAGCTGGCAATACTTAACATGCCACTTGTCTTAAAACTGGCAACACTTACCTTGTCAGTTTTCTTAATGGCAACACTATTACACTTGTCTTAAAACTATCCACACTCACCGATCCTCCTCTGGGTATGGTCCACAGACCCCGCCCTAGGTCGGGGCGGGACGGCCGGTTTCTCCGCCCCTCTCTCCTCGGCTTCCGAACTCGATTCCTCTTGCCCGCCCGTAGACAAGCTCACTGTGCGTGCGTTAACGTGCTTTAGTACGCGGCTTTAGGGTTGCTTTTCGGTTAGACTACACTATGTGTGGAGTACCCCTTAACCTTAAGATGCATGCCATGATAAAATATTATCGACAATTTAAGACAAATTAATGGGCTTAACGAACATCGATAAAATGTCTGATAAAAGTTTAAAAGAAATGTCTGATAAACATTTTTTCTTTCTTTCTTTCTTTCTTTCAAAAGCTGTAAATATTGACTGTCTTCTAGTGTATGTCTTGTTGGTTGTCCTATTAAATAAATAAATAAAGTTTATCGTGGCGTGCATCACAGGCCTACGGGCAGTGCTTGAATAGAGCCTACTTCAATTTGAACTTTATGCTATATTTATGATATGGTTGGAAACCAATAAAAATATTTTTGCTGAGCCTGGTTAAGGGGTATGCTAATTTTGTGGATAAATTAATGTTTCTCGTGGATTTTATTGACTTAGATTAGTATGTAGCTGTGTTTTATACGCATTCTCAGACTATTTGTAATACAATTTAATATAAATGTAATTTCTAATTCTATTACGCACGTATCATCACCTTTTAGGCGCCTATGCCTTCTTATGAGACCCATAACCCATAATAGCTAGGGATCTCACCTTACTATAATATTACTACTTTACCTTTTCTGTAATATTACTTATTTCACCCAAAAATCAATTTCAATTCTGTATCTATCATTAAGGTTCGGCCAAACCAACGCGTGGAGTCTGCTTGCGCAATGGCGATCACTGCGCGTGCAAAAGTTGTTCACACTGCTACGTTCGCAATCCAGACGTTTATTTGAAAAAAAAAATCCGCCATTTTAAAATTAAAAACGTCAAAATAACAAGCGTGACAAGTGGGTCTAGACAAAGTGCAAATTATAATCGCAAACCGGTCGATAAGTGGTCGAAAAGCCCCTTTTTTGTATGGAGTTTTGACGGATTCGATTTTCGATTCGATCAAAAAGTGCGTTTTGTCTAGGGGGGCTGGGGGCGGAGTGTCAGAGCGCATTCGATGTCGACTGTGTAAAAAAGTGACATTAAATGTATGACAGATTGTGACAGTGCACCTAGCGGAATCTTTAAAAAACTAAAATCTTCATATATTTTTTTAACGCGCTCTCTATTGACAACGTTTACGTGTAAACTCACACTAAGCCCTCTGATCGTCGATCGCCGCGTGCAAACGTTGCATAGTTCGCCGCAACCAATGACAGTACAAGACACCAATCAGTCAGACACCAATCTGTAACCATGTTCTTGCAAATAAATGATTTTATTATTTATTATTATTGTACGTGTTGATGTGAACTCACAACAAATTCATACACGACCATCTGATCGCCATCGTGCACGCAGACTGCACGCGTTGGTTTGGCCGCACCTTTACCCTCTCTTTTATCTATTTTACCCATCGTTACTCTATATTATTATCCCCTGTTCATTTACTACCACATCCCTATACCCAGAACATCCCAAACATAACTTCAACTCACCAGAGCTATAAGCGTTCGCTAGCCCTCGCCTCCTGGCGGTATTCGCGGCTGCTTTGTTCATGGAACTGATGGTGGGCCTCATCAGGCCTTGGGTCCGACTGCTGGCCTGAGGCCTGGAAGGCTGCGGGTCTGACTCCGAATCGCTCTGTGAAAGTTAAACTTCAGTAAAGAAAAAGGTCATCTATTACGGGACTATTCCCACCTCTCGTTCCCACCGCTGCAACTCCTGTGTATCCAGGATCTACAGCTTGACCGCCAATAACCCAACCAGTGAAGGTAAGTTTGTCTCGAGGGAAATTTAAGCTGTCATTGGACCCGCAACGAAATTAATCAGAAGAACATAGGAGGAGTTCGAGGTTAAGGTTCGACATCCCTACATTGCAAAGCGGATGACAGGTGACGAACAAAGGTTTAGTAAACCTTTTGATGAGGCTGTGTTTTACTTCTTCTTCTTCTTGTCACGTCGACAACAAACCTACACAGTGTCAGCCCAAAAGTCCGCCACAAGAGTGGCGTTGTCAGCAGCACACATCAAATCCTCCTGAGTGCAGTTGCTTGGGCACTCAGGGCACGACATCAGGTGCTTCATCGACTGTGTGTCTTACTGGATAGTTTAGAACTCCTTGTCATGTTCGACTTGCCGTTATACCGGGACGCGGGACGGGCGAACCCGTTCGGCGACTTTTTATAAAGTTATTATTCTTTCGGAATAGAGCAACAAAGAACTAAGCGAGCGAGATGTCGCTAGCAGCAACACTGCGTGATTAAAAGAGATGCGTGATGCCGTCGCCGTCACGTCAAACAGAACCGTTTTATGCAACTATTTCACAGTTCGTTAGCACTTATTGGCACGCTGAAAATTCGAGCTCTGAGATTTTTTCAGATCTTATGTCAGCAAAATTATTAGAAATAGTGCTTCAGAAACGTGGTGACTGGTTCAGTGATTGATTTATTGTACAAACAGTGAAATAATCTTGACACTGACACACAAATGATATCCAGTGTCATCCAAAATCAGTTTCGTTTGACAGCTCGTGGTTGTTGCTCTATTCCGAAGGAATATTAACATTCTGGTTCGAACCCGGGCTCGGCTGGACCGGTTTCGATGAGGCTGTGTGTTACTGGATAGTTTAGATTCTCACCTGGTTATTCAACACGCCGACGCTCGAACTCCTGGTCATGTTCGACTTGCCGTTATACCGGGGCGCGGGCCGGGCGAACCCGCTCGGCGATTTGTTCGAACCCGGGCTCGGCTGGGCCGGTTTCGATGAGGCTGCCGTCAGAAAAACACATTAGGTTGTCGTGAATGGAATTAAAATGACATCTGAGAACTGGTAACTGGTAAGATTTTATCTTGGCAAGATGGAAAGAATTTAGAAACAATACTAAGTATTCGTTTTATAGATTTTTTAAATAATGTAGTTAGAATAGAAAACATGAACAAGTTACTGTTATAATAATTGTTTTTTCAAATGGTATAGATGAATTTTATAGAATAAATTAAGGATTTGGTAAAAGACACACAAAAAGATTTTATAAATAAAAGAAGATAACATCTATTACAAAAGTTGATAAAAGCGAAACATGCTAAATATGTAATAGAAAATACATGCACATAATGTTATAAGTAAGTTTATAGCATGATATAATGTAAGCATGCCGTTATTACAGATATGGAGACATTATTACGATAACATCTTTAAAATTCAAATATCAGTCAAATGTGAGTCGCACTCTCGCACTTTAACTTATTACTAAAAATTTTAGTTACATAATTATGAAGCATTTTATCTTTCCTTACGCACTAATTGCCAATAGTCCCGTTAACCCCTCGTGCTAAGTTAATATGTTACGAGTGGGTTCACTATAATAGTCCAGCAATGGGATTCGAACCAGCTTTCCTCGAAGCTGACCTCGAATCGGTCATTCTGACACCGACTTCATTGGCCTATAGTAGCTTATACATGGTATGATTTTGTGAATGCAGTTTTATTTCTTTTCAAAAATAAAGGAATGTTTTCTGTGAGTAAACTTTTCTATCTACAGTATTAATAGTACTTTCCCTCCAGGTGGCAATACAAAATTCCACCCTGTCCCCTCAACTGTAACAGATTTCTTCTTTATACCGGTTTTACCGGTTTTTTACCGGGAACCGGTATTATCCACGAGTTAAACTAAATTCTTGGAAATAATATTCCTAATCGTACCTTTTTTTCCATCACCAACATACATATCCCCTGTTAACCACCACCTTTTTAACCTCACAACCATACCTTGCGGGGTCCTTGGCGCCGGCATCGGTTTGACGGCGAGATCCGAGAGAGATATCGCCCGACGCATGCCAGAAGACTCCTCCTCCTCGGACGTCTGGCGACTCGCTGCGATCGAGGATGGGTTAACATGCGGGCGTCTGAACGTATGGTATCGGTATTTTTGTCGATAGAACGTCGTAGGACGCAACACTATAGAGTATAGACACTACAGGTGGTATTTTAGGATATACGATCTATGTCGTGGAATATAGTGATGAGATTTATATTGACCACCGGTAGATTTGTCGATAAAGTTCATTTTAGGAGTGAAGTGGCTGTGAGCGGTATTTTCAACCGACTTCAAAAAAAGGAGGAGGTTCTCAATTCAACCCGTATGTTTTTTTTTTATCTGTTAAAACTACGTCGCTGGATATAGTGATGTGATCCAGATTGCTAAAACCGGTATCTTTATCGATATAGCACGTTGTAGGATAGTGTGATGTGGTTTTGCTGACACAGGTATAACATCATAACCTAAAGAACCCATGTCTTGAAATATTAGTATAGTAGGTACATACATAAATATGGCAGTTTTCTCTTTTCCATTTTTAGAAAAGTTCTCTATTTTTACTCTAATAACTTGGAGTTGCTGTTAAAAAAATGCACAACCTACAAAAAACAAAAAATGGGTTAAGTAGCCAATTTGTGAGTATCGTGTTTTAGGAATTGCAATTTTTTACTTGCACAAAACGCATACGTTCAGACAGCTAAAGGCAAAAGCGAAAAACATCTAAACACACAAAACACATGCAAAATTCAAATGGATGATAAAAATAATAAATTGAAGATTAAAAACACATGCTTTAAAATTTTATAATAATAAAAAGCCGTGGTTTGCGATGGATTGTGAAGAAACAGCGAGTGCCCAGTAATAAAAGATTTCATCGTTTTTTTAATTAAAAATACCAATATTTGAATAATGCAAATAATTTTAATATTTTTTATCACCACACTAACTGTCTTCACATCTCAAATAACAAAAACGCGAAAGGCATCGTTGAATAAATTTTGCTAAACCCTAGAGGTCGTGACTCGCGATAAAATTTTACAACATCGATATAGAAACATCTAGAGATTTGATAACTATTATAATTCTATCGATACTATCACATCATTATGTCAATTTATTACAGTATTTTTTTAACTCATTAACGGTAATCGGTATAAATCTACAATAGTATCGATAGACTTTATTCGCGTCACTTTAAACAAATAATACGATGCCTCAAAAAAGCGCAACCGAAACGACATTTATCTTTTTAAAACATGCGTTGCCAACCTTGCGGTGTGAATTTTGACGGTAACATCGGCGGTTGGAACGGGAGTCTTTTGGCCAGACATGATCCCCTTACGATACCCCCTGAATAAATTACGGGACGGATTCTGCCCATAGACGGTTCATGAATTCGATTTTCCATACACAATCTAGGGGTGGGACCCCTTATAATTTTCCTAAAAGGGGTTTTCGCGCGATTGAAACCATATATCGACATGCGTTTCGGCGAATTCGTACAACTAGAACTAGTGGTGGAAGATTCGTAATTCTCGCTATCTAAATGGACGTCTGTCTTCGGTATTACCATTTCGTTGTACACTCTTTGCTTGAGACACTTTGGCGCGTTCAAATCCGTTTTGACTGCGTTATTTAGTTTTACTTCAGTGTCGTCGGATTCCGGATTGGGGTTCCCCGCTTCGTTGGAAACTTCTATCCCTTCTACAGTAACTAAACCTCCGATTTGTTCGGAATCTAAAATATCTGGAAGACTTAGATTGCGCTTTATTTCTTTATTCTCTGAATTTGTTTCCGTGTCTGTGTCTGCTTCTTCTAAAGTTAGAGACGCAAAGTTAGGCACTGTTGTCTGCTTCGTTGCTAGCTTCTCGAATTTTCTGGACAAAACTTTGACTACACCTGTACCATCGTTTATGTTTGCTTTCAAAGGTCGCATACGCCACTCCTTTAGTATTTTCTCTTGTAGAATCTTTCGTTCTTCCATCTCAACTAGTTTATTAATAATCTCGATTTTTCTCTCGATGTTTTTATATTGTTTTATGTCGTCACTCTCAGGCGCTATATTCTCTTTAGCTTCTACGTTACGGCTGTGACAAGGGACTGATAGATCTTTATCATTTCTAGACAGCCTAGAATTGATTTGATCTTTCTTAGACTTGTAAGCGAACTTATTGTCTTGCTCTGCGTAGTAATCTAAAGAATCCTTAGCGAAATCATTAGTATCTTCAATGACATCTAAAGAATCCATGCTGACTTGTTTCATCCGTTCCATTCTTTGCATAGCATACACTTCTAAGCTATCCATTTGAATTTCAGATTTATTTTCATTGACGTCTTTTTCTTTAACGAAAACATCAAACGATTTCTCAGTGCTATCTGAAGGATCTACTTGGTTAGAATTCTTGTCCTCTTGTTGTTGATTTGCTAAGTAGTTCTTATTCTGGAGTCCGTCTAATTTGGCCTTATACTGGGATGATATGGAAGAACTAAGCGCTGACTTATCCAAGCCAGCTTTAAGTCTGTTATTAATTTTGACAGACGACGTCCTCTTGATAGGTTTCGGAGGTTTGTGCGGAACAAACTCCATGGTAATTTTAACGTTATTATTTTTCTGTGAGCCTCTCTCCAGACTTTTCGTTGTATTGTTATATTTGGCACCGTTAGCTTTCTCTTTATTCTGCTGATTTTTGCTAGTTTTCGTTTGAGTGTTTTTACGAATTTGCTCCTCGAATTTCTCCAAATTCTTTTGCACGTGCGAGTTGCGTTTCTCCATCAAATTCTTCAATGGATTAGGTTTCGACGCGGGTTCTAGAACCACTTCGAAGCTGCAACTCTTTGATTTAACCATAGCGCTCTGCTCACAACCAGCCATCTCACTTTTGTACTTATGTTTTTCACTTTTGGGTTGTAAAGATTTAGTATTAGCAGCGTAGTCTGTCGTATTGAGTCTTGGAATCTCATCGCTTGCCTTCTTCTCTTTAGTATACTGCTGTACATTATTTCCGTCGAAATAATACGCAATATTCTTCGCAGGAGGAGGCTGTTTCGATGACGAATCGTATAGACTTCGCGATCTGGTCACAGTTTTGTGACCGGAATATTCGGCAGTTGGGACATCGAATCCGTATACTTTACTGGTTGGAGCTGGAGGCTTTGGACTTATACTAGCTGGTTGATTTTTGTAATTTGGACTAGTCCCTTCGAAGTAGTTGTTATACATGTAACCAGGGAAGTGTGGAGCGTCATTAGGACTTGATCCATAACTCTTCGATGTGTTTTCAAATTCATAGCAACTCTTACTGTTTCTTGGAATACTAGTTTGAGTTCTTTGGAGTCTTTTAAGTTTGGTGCCTTCGAATAGCATTTCTAAAGGCGCACTCTTAGTGCATTCGGAATCATCTGACAGCACGCTTTCTAGTGAATTACAATTAGTCCTGGACAACTGATTGTCGTTATCCAAATACATTTCATCAGAGAGGACAGATTCCTGACTGCAACTAGATTTCATGTACTTCTTCTGATTCAAAAAGAAGCTAGCACTACTGTGTCTGTGATTCTCCAAATAATTGGCATCGTTTATATTTTCATACGAACATTTTTGCGAATCATTCAAATTGTATCTACTATCACAAAATTTGGCTTGTTGGAAGGCCACTTCGTTGCCGTATTTGAGGAATATTTCGTTAGAAACACTAGAACAGTTTGAATTATCACTCAACACCGATTCGTTCGATCTGGTCACACATCGTTTTGTTAACACACTTTGGCATCTATACATATTAGAGTAGTTGTAATTCATGGAATCTTCGTCCAAAATATCATCAAGATTTGACGGCATATTTCTTGGTAAAGTCGAACTTTTCTGATTAATATTAGCAGGTTTGGCCGGTACTGCCGGTTTTTCTCCCGCGTATATTTCGTAATTAGATATAGCTCTTCGCGGTTTACCCTTATTATGCTTTTTGCAAACCTTTTTGGAGTACAATTTGTTTTTGCAACTAGCATCCTGACTTAGACTACAATCTTCTAACGAATCAGACGAGAAATTACCGTCGTCTTTTTCTTCAACTTCTTTAGTCGGTTTTAAATCTAGATCACCTAGATTATTGGGTTCGTATTCGTCTAAATCACCGTACTTTTTAGTGATTTCTGCTATCATTTTCTCTGTGTCACTTTTTATTGTATCTACGATACTTTTGCCGTTGTCTTTCAAAGATTTATTGTCCAGACCAACAAAGAAAGATAGCGAGTTTCTCTTTTTAGGATCCAAAGAGTGCGTTTGTGGTCCTTGATTTTGGTTGTTTTGAGCTACTTTGTCAGCCCATTTGCATTCTTCAGAGACTGGGGAGACTGGACAAGACTTGTAATTTTTGAATATACTACGATTCGGTTTAGGTTTCGTCTGTGGTTTGTCATCTGGCTTTGTCAGATTCAAATGGAAATTTCTAGGAGGTACTTTTGGTGGTGGTTCCTTTTCTTCTGCATTTGGGAACAGTCTATTAAAAACTTTGGACTGAACTGGTTTTTTGCCCATATCAATAGTAAAGGCCAGATTTTGTTTCTGCGGCAATTGGTCTTTGAAAATCATGGGCTTTATTCCGTAAGGAGTAAAGTTCATAGTTCTTTTGTCGTTGCTAGATTGTGGTATGTTTGCGTGGGGAGGGACATACGGGGGATTGTCGATATAATCGGGGATGAGTTTGTTTAGATTGGCGGGGATAGCGTAAGGGTTCTTCTGTCGATAGTCCACGTTTTGGAACGGGTTCAAACTATCGAAGTAGTTAGAATTCAGACTGTCCAGATTCTCTTCTGGACAGGGGGGGTTATGTCCTGGTTAGCGTGGTGGGGATTAAATAATCGGTTAGTAGCGATACATATTATGGTTTCAATTGACCAACAACATGTTTCAATGTAAATATATTCAACATTTTACAATAAATAAATTCAGTAATGTTTGATTTTATAAAGATGGTTATACAACACAGTCGAGCTAACAGCAAGCCTCGCTGAAATGCTACTCTACTACGCACTCATTCGCACACCTCCCCTCGCCCGACAGGGCGGCGACATGACGTCACGGCCAGGTGTGTAGTTAATTCAACCGGATTGTACAGTCAGCGCAAAATAGATCGTGACACCCAAAGTGATCAAAAATTCGACAACACAACCTTATTCCGATTGTAACAAAGACGTGTTACGAACTTTTTGGCTACTTTGGGTGTTACAAACTATTTGATGCTGACTGTGCCCAGAAAAAAATATTTTTCTGGTATCTGTGTAAGGTAAAATTCTGAAGTAAAGTGACAATATTGTTGGTCAATTCACAATATATCATAAAATATGCAAATGTTAATGATGTGGCACTCTTTAGCAATATCATGAGTCTTGCAGGTGAAATCAATTGATGTAAACATTTTAATATTTTTGTTGTCAAATGAAATTATTGAATAATTTCACAATTCGCATAGGTACTAAAAGAGTTTACTGAACTTAGTTCAAGAGCTGTCATTGTCATGAAAACGGTGCATTTTTTGCTGTCACAACAGATTACATACTTTTTAAATTATTTTACGTAAATAAATGACGAAAAGCTGAAGGGTAGCCCACAGTTGGAGTAAAGTCTGCGTCCAGTAATGAGACGAATATAAACTTACTGTAAAATTCGAAAACAACTTTTTTTTTTCAAAAAAATAATCATTTTTTTAATAAAACACTAATTGTAGTCCAAAAAACCCAGTTAGTTTTCTGTGGACTATAAAATACGGTATTTAGCAGCTTTGAAATTATCAAACTGTCATTCAATTTAATTCGCGACTCGATGACGTCATAGTCTCTATTGCTATACAAAATCTACGCTAGCAACTCATTTTGACAGTTCAAAAAAGTGTGTCAATCCTACTAATATTATAAATGCGAAAGATTGTCTGGATGTTTGTTACTCTTTCACGCAAAAATTACTAAACGGATTTTGATGAAACTTTACAGTAGTATTACTTATAACACAGAATAACATATAGACTATAATTTATGACGATCTGTGACAAACTAAATCTCACGCGGGTGAAGCCGCGGGCAAAAGCTATTGACTAGAATCTCCACTAGCCTATTCTCATCAAAAGAAATCACCTGCAAGTCCGGCCAAGTCTTCAAAGCGTTATGAACGTTGCTACACTCACCATAAGGCCGCGTATTGCTCGGCACGGCCATGGAGACGGGTCGCGCGCGCTTCGAGCCGTCTTTCTCTGGGATGTATGAAAGATCGTGAGTGGACTGACTCGATTTGAGGTTCGAACGGAATGCCACCTGGAAAAGAAAATGTAAATTATTAACTATTGATTCATTTCATTTTGACTATAGTAATGCAACACATGAAGGCGTGTGAACTTTACTTGTATGTGTACATGCACATAACGATAGTGTAATGTCTATCAAAACTTGACAAACGAACAGTAGCGAGCCACCACACATGTAAAGCTCACTCGCCTTTGTGAATTGCAATAACTATACCTATATGAGTCCACGCAGACTTTTTATCGGCAGATAGTTTGCTTCTAATTTGTATAAGGAATCAATCGATACCAAATCGGTGTAAAGGTTGATTTACACGTGTTAAGTAGTTAAGCAGGTAATTTTTTCACTTAATTTTTAGTCTATGTCAAAAAGTATAAAAGTCAAGATCTTGTTTACTATAAAACTGCTTGTCAAGTGACCAGCTCATCCAAGGCCTGGTCGCATATTGGTCCTCTAATCGCCTCTTAGGACATCCAGGGGAAAGTGTGAATTCTATTCTATTCTGTTGGATCCCTTGTATCCACACGGCTTCATAATTGGGCTGGCGACAGGCCTGATGTTTGCCTAATTGTCCATGAAATCCACGGAAAGAATGGGGATTGTCTCATTCTACTTACGCTCTCAAGTTGGGGTAAACTTTTGTGAAGTCATTTGGCTGAAACGCACGAACATTACTAGAAGTCTACTCACGCTCTCCAGCTGCCTCCTCGTCTCCAGTATGCGCCTTTGTAGTATCTTAATTTCACCGTGTTTGCCGCAGACAAGACAAGGATTTCGTCGGACCTAGCTACGAAAAGTCACACAGTGCGCGTCTGCCGCGTGACGTATCTATAGTCCGGTAGCCGAGCACGTAGAATTTCTTCCAATGACCCCAAGCTAACCATCCTTATCGCTCGCGCGTAATTATATTGCTGTCGCGCTCGCACGCACACTCACTGCGGCCGCCCATCGCACAGTCGCGACAGCAATATAACTAAGCGCAACCAAGCAACTAATAAAAACAAAAGTCAACTTACTCTCCAGCTGCCGCCGCACGGTGGTCCCGATTTAATAAAACATGGACATTGATGCTAGAAGCACGAAATTTTTTTTGATGGTTACTGCTATGATAACTAATAAGGCAAAAAAATATTACAATCCTACGACGTCTATTTCGTAGTAAAAAAAATATATACATATTTTTTGTATGGAAGAAATTACGTTTCTGTAAATTTTTCGAAATTCTTAAACGATGTCAAGATGCCGATCACACATGTTATAAAACAAGTGATTCTGAGTATTTCATGCCAAAATACTTGTCACTTATCTCTGCGTACTTTTGAGTTATCGAGGGTTGAAAAATCGATTTTTTTATATTAAATATTTCCACGAAAAATTGCCAAAATTACAATATGGTGTATAAGGGACACCTTTGATGACACATAACAACGACACGCACTCGCGCGCGCTCGTATTCATCAGCTTTTAATAAAATAAAATAAAAAATTAAGGGAAATACTTAATACAACGTTGTATGTATAGGTCCGCTGGCCGTCAAAAAGTAGCTTATACGAGAGGTTGCCCAATTTACAATATGTCCATCATTGATAACTCACACAAATATCATCTCTCTCTGAAGGATAACAAGTTTTTTTTGTTTCCAGAAGCTTTTGATAGGATGGAAGCTCATAAATACTCTCTGAAGTGAGAATGAATCTCAAATTGCGATATTGCCATTTTGACAAATTACATGATGTAACTAGCGCTAACGTTTATCTTCAGGTAGACACAGTTTTAAGTTAAAAGATTGTCTACTATTTCACACTGTTTTTCGTTTTGGAACAGTTCTTTGATTATAGGTAGTCGCTAATTTCGTTTTGTTAGACTCTTTCAGTTTAGCACATAAAGCGTAAACTAATTCCTCCTCAGAATGATCTAAAAGTGTTAGAGAGCGCCTCTTCTTCTGCAGAAGAAGAATTTTGCATAAATCTTCAAAAGGTTTTTTATTTATACCAGAAGTCGATGGTTGCACATCTACTTCCGCAGTCTCATCAACTGGAGCGTCTTCCTCGGTGTTAACGTTGTCTATGCGTTGTGTTAACTCGGTAAAAAACATTGTTTAAATCTATATTTTTACAATTCGGCCAGACAATTTCAGAGTCTAGCCAATGCGAATTCTGGTGCAAAAATGTCTTTTGGGCTCTGCTGGAAGCAGACCATATCTTCTTTGATATATTTCTTGTAAAATTACGACTTAATGATTTGATAATTACTCAAATCTTCGGAAGACAATTCAATGCCAATACGTTCGTCATTTTAGTCTGAAATGGTCTGGCCGAAATGTAAAAATATAGATTTAAAAAATGTTTTTTACCGAGTTAACACAACGCATAGACAACGTTAACACCGAGGAAGACGCTCCAGTTGATGAGACTGCGGAAGTAGATGTGCAACCATCGACTTCTGGTATAAATAAAAAACCTTTTGAAGATTTATGCAAAATTCTTCTTCTGCAGAAGAAGAGGCGCTCTCTAACACTTTTAGATCATTCTGAGGAGGAATTAGTTTACGCTTTATGTGCTAAACTGAAAGAGTCTAACAAAACGAAATTAGCGACTACCTATAATCAAAGAACTGTTCCAAAACGAAGAACAGTGTGAAATAGTAGACAATCTTTTAACTTAAAACTGTGTCTACCTGAAGATAAACGTTAGCGCTAGTTACATCATGTAATTTGTCAAAATGGCAATATCGCAATTTGAGATTCATTCTCGCTTCAGAGAGTATTTATGGGCTTCCATCCTATCAAGAGCTTCTGGAAACAAAAAAAACTTGTTATCCTTCAGAGAGAGACGATATTTGTGTGAGTTATCAATGATGGACATATTGTAAATTGGGCAACCTCTCGTATAAGCTACTTTTTGACGGCCAGCGGACCTATACATACAACGTTGTATTAAGTATTTCCCTTAATTTTTTATTTTATTTTATTAAAAGCTGATGCATACGAGCGCGCGCGAGTGCGAGTTGTTGTTATGTGTCATCAAAGGTGTCCCTTATACACCATATTGTAATTTTGGCAATTTTTCGTGGAAATATTTAAGATAAAAAAATCGATTTTTCAACCCTCGATAACTCAAAGTACGCAGAGATAAGTGACAAGTATCTTCGCATGAAATACTCAGAATCACTTGTTTTATAACATGTGTGATCGGCATCTTGACATCGTTAAAGAATTTCGAAAAATTGACAGAAACGTAATTTCTTCCATACAAAAAATATGTATATATTTTTTTTTACTACGAAATAGACGTCGTAGGATTGTAATATTTTTTTGCCTTATTAGTTATCACAGCAGTAACCATCAAAAAAATTTTCGTGCCTCTAGCATCAATGTCCATGTTTTATTAAATCGGGACCACTGTGCGCCGTGTTTCCAGTATGCGCCTTTGTACTACCTCTCTCCATCCAGCCACCTAGGATCCAACCATCTTGGACATCTTTTCATGAAATCCATGGGAAGAACAGAGTCTTATCCATGGTAAAAATAAAGGTGGTTCTGATCTACTCACGCTCTCCAGCTGCCGCCGTGTCTCCAGTATGCGCCTTCATAGTTTCTCCCTCCATCTTGCCGCCTTAGGGCATTTTTTCATGAAATCCATGGTAAGTATAAAGGTGGTTCTATTCCACTCACGCTCTCCAGCTGCCGCCGTGTCTCCAGTATGCGCCTGTGTAGCTCCTCCCTCCGCCTCGCCGCTTCAGGGTCTTGCGTCTTGGACGGAGTGCGGGGCGCGGGGGAGGGCGCGGCGCGCGCGGGCGCGGGCGGCGCGCGGGACAAGTGCTGCGAGGACAGCGAGTTGTTGCGACCATGTTTGTGTCTTAGTCGCTTACGGACGTGTGTAGGAACAGGAGAGAGAGAGAGAGGGAGGAGAGAGGGAGGAGAGAGGGAGGAGAGAGGGAGGAGAGAGGGAGAAGAGGGAGGGAGGGAGAAGAGAGAGGGAGGAGAGACACAAGAGAGGGATAGGAGAGAGGGAGAAGAGAGGGAGAGGATAGAGATAAGAGAGGGAGAGGAGAGAGAGGGAGAGAGGAGGGAGGAGAGAGGGAGGAGAGAGAGGGAGAAGAGAGGGAGGAGAGACACAAGAGAGGGATAGGAGAGAGACAAGAGAGGAATAGGAGAGAGACAAGAGAGGGATAGGAGAGAGGGAGAAGAGAGGGAGAGGATAGAGATAAGAGAGGGAGAGGTGAGAGAGGGAGAGAGGAGGGAGGAGAGAGGGAGGAGAGAGGGAGGAGAGAGGGAGGAGAGAGGGAGGAGAGAGGGAGGAGAGAGGGAGGAGAGAGGGAGGAGAGAGGGAGGAGAGAGGGAGGAGAGAGGGAGGAGAGAGGGAGGAGAGAGGGAGGAGAGAGGGAGGAGAGAGGGAGGAGAGAGGGAGGAGAGAGGGAGGAGAGAGGGAGGAGAGAGGGAGGAGAGAGAGAAGAGAGAGGGAGAAGAGAGCAGTGGACGTCATTTGGCTGAAACGCACGAATATTACTAGACGTCTACTCACCCTCTCTAGTTGCCTCCTGGTCTCCAATATGCGCCTTCATAGTTCCTCCCTCCATCTTGCCGCCTGAGGGAATTTTTTCATACAATCTAAGGGAAGAACAGAGGTAATTCTATTCTACTCACGCTCTCCAGCTGCCGCCGTGTCTCCAGTATGCAATATCCCTTAGTCGCCTCTTAAGACATCTATAGAAAACCATAAAGGTAATTCTATTCCACTCACGCTCTCCAGCTGCCTCCTGGTCTTCAGTAGTTTGTAGTTCCTCTTGTCGCCTTAGGGTCAAGCATCTTGGACATTGAATCTACGGGGTAAGAATGGGGGTGGTTCTAGTCTACTCACGCTCTCCAGCTGCCGCCGTGTCTCCAGTATGCGCCTGTGCAGCTCCTCCCTCCGCCTCGCCGCTTCAGGGTCTTGCGTCTTGGACGGAGTGCGGGGCGCGGGGGAGGGCGCGGGACAAGTGCTGGGAGGACAGCGAGTTGTTGCGGCCATGCTAGTGCCTTAGTCGCTTACGGACGTGTGTAGGAAGAGAGAGAGGGAAGAGAGAGAGAGGAGAGAGAGAGAAGAGAGAGAGAGAGAGAGAGAGTAGAAAGGGAGGAGAGAGAAAAAAGACAGAAGAAAGGAGAGAGAGGTAGGGAGGGGGAGAAGAGAGAGACGTGAGAGAGGGGCAGAAGAGAGAGAGAGGAGTGGGAGGAGAGAGAGAGAGGAGAGGGAGGAGAGAGAGAGATGAGAGAGGGAGGAGAGAGAGTAAAGAGAGAGAGAGAAAAGAGAGCAGTGCAGACGTCATTTGGCTGAAACGCACGAACATTACTAGAAGTCTATTCACGCTCTCCAGCTGCCCTGGTCTTTAGTATGCGCTTTTGTAGTTACTCCCTCAGTCTTGTCGCCTTAGGGCTAAGCATCTTGGACACTATTTCGTGGAGTCCCTTTATAGTTTCTCCCTCCATCTTACCGCCTTAGGGCCAAGCATCTTGGACATCTTTTCAAGAAATCCACGGGGATAGTCCTATTCTACTTACGCTCTCCAGCTGCCTCCTGGTCTCCAGTATGTGCCTTTGTAGTTTCTCCTTCCATCTAGCCGCCTTAGGGACAAGCATCTTCGACGTCTTTTCATGAAATTCACGGGATAGTCTTATTCTACTCACGCTCTCCAGCTGCCGCCGTGTCTCCAGTATGCGCCTGTGCAGCTCCTCCCTCCGCCTCGCCGCTTCAGGGTCTTGCGTCTTGGACGGAGTGCGGGGCGCGGGGGAGGGCGCGGCGCGCGCGGGCGCGGGCGGCGCGCGGGACAAGTGCTGGGAGGACAGCGAGTTGTTGCGACCATGCTTGTGCCTTAGTCGCTTCTTGCGGACGTGTGTAGGAAGAGTGTAGAGAGAGAGGAGAGAGAGAAGAGAGAGAGAGGGAAGATGGAAAGAGAGAAGAGAGGGAGGAGAGAGGGAGAGGAGAAGAGAGGGGGAAGTAAGAGGAGAAGAGAGAGGGAGGAGAGAGAGTGGGAAGGGATATAAGAGAGGTAGAAGAGAGAAGAGAGGGAGAGGGAGAGGGAGAAGAGAGCAAGCAGTGTAGCTTTTTCCAGCAGTGGACGTCATTTGGCTAAAACGCACGAATATTACTAGAAGTCTACTCACGCTCTCCAGCTGCCCTGGTCTCCAGTATGTGCCTTTGTAGTTTCTCCCTCCATCTAGCCGCCTTAGGGCCAACCATCTTGGACATCTTTTCATGAAATTCACGGGATAGTCTTATTCTACTCACGCTCTCCAGTTGTCATACGTGTTAGCGCCATCTGTTATCCGTAGTGGGGAGTCGATAGATGTCGCTAAAGGCTGAAACGAACGACTAGAAGTCTACTCACGCTCTCCAGCTGCCGCCGTGTCTCCAGTATGCGCCTGTGCAGCTCCTCCCTCCGCCTCGCCGCTTCAGGGTCTTGCGTCTTGGACGGAGTGCGGGGCGCGGGGGAGGGCGCGGCGCGCGCGGGCGCGGGCGGCGCGCGGGACAAGTGCTGGGAGGACAGCGAGTTGTTGCCTGAGGGATGAGAGGTTAAGTCATGTATCTAGATATTTATTTAGTTTGGGAATAGAGGCGCAGTCGCAGGCGCATCTTGGAATTATTTAATTGAAAACGCAAAAGATTTTAGCAACGGAAGAGAAGAGCGTTAGTGTCTTGAACACCGGTTTTTCGCAGTTGCATTGCTTCCTCATCTAATATTGTAGTCCCCATTAGTAATATTGCCTTCTCCATCTGTGATATTATGGTCCTCATCAATAATATTGTGGTACCTATCTGTAATATTGTGTTCCCCATCTAATATAGTACTCCCCGTCCCCATCTGTAATATAGTGGTCCTCGTCTGAAATATAGTCATCCCCTTTTGAAATATCGTGGTCCCCATCTGTAATATTATGGTCCTCATCCGTAGTATTGCGGTTCATTATCCGTAAAATGTTGATCCCCATCAGTAATATTGCCGTCCCCATCTAAAATATTTACCTATATTGTGATCGTTGTCCCCATCAGCACACAGGCTGTCTGTCGTACGCCGACTTTATTTACTTCTCACGGCGTCCCGCTATGTCTAGCGACTCGCACGAGCCCTATAATGTGTTCCTAATCTATAATTTTGGCCCCCATCTAATATTGTATTCCTCATCCGTAGTATTGTGGTTCCCATCCGTAACATTGTGATTCCCATCGATATCAGCAATATAGCCGTCCCCATCAGTAATATTATGGTCCCCATTAACAATATTCACCTATATTGTGGTCGTTGTCCCCGTCAGCACACAAGCTATCGTACGCCGACTTGATGTACTTCTCGCGGCGGCCTGCTGTGTCCAGTGACTCACACGAGCCTGATAAGGGATTGCGTTCTGCGTTGTCACCGGACGGGGTTGACACCTATAATTAAAAAAAAGAAGTTTATTAAGATAAGCTAAGATAAGTATATTTACCAAAAATTATGGTAATATGTACCAAAAAATAAGAAAAAATACAAGATAGAAAACGCTGAATGGTAAATGATCAAGCGCAAAAACTAAGTACTTATTGAACGACAAATGATTGTGAACAAATGGATGATGAATCAACGAACGAGTGTTTTCCCCAAAATAATTGACTATGAGAAGTGACCAATCGGTGAAAACTTGTAGGGAACGAAGTAAGGGTTAAGGGAAAAGAGTCTCAAAGACAGCGTCAAATTAGTTCCGTGACACCCAAAGTGGCCAAAAAGTTGACAACACAACCTTTTTCCAATTGTAACAAAGACGTGTTGATTTGACTGTACGCAGTGAGGCATGTAGAATGGTTAAGGGGGAGATGGAGGGGCTTTACCTCATCGTCGTCCGAATCGTGTCCGGAGCCGGACAGCGAGGTGCCGCCGGGCGGGAGCTCGAGCCGCGGCGAGCCGGTGGCCTGCCAGCGTTTTGAGCGACGCACCGACTGCCGGAGCTCTTCGGCGTCCATTGCGTTCACCATGAACTCCCTAGAACAAATAGTTTGTTTAGAAGACACTGTTTTCTTCTATTTATGGGGAGCTGAACGTCAATTAAATAGGAAAAGGCACATCAGAAGAAGTAGATTCTTTGATTCTGTTATGTTATTTTTTAGACTCTAAAATCTTTAAATGAATTAAAAGACGTTTTCACCATGGTTTTATCCATGAACTTGCTAGAAATATTCTCAAATGAAAAGAAGGGAACACTGTAAAAAAATGATTCACAAAGCATGAAACAATACATTCACATATCACACTCATAAACACGTCGACCTTTTTTTATGTAGGTATCTTTCAAACGGTAGGACGGGGGCACGAAATGTTGCCCCGGCTATAAAAAATCGTAGATCTGTGGCTAGGGCTCCATTCAGTCATTTGGTGCAGACTTACCCAGGCGTGTCCTCATCGTTGTTCCCGGGATAGTACATGGTCCGGTTGCCCCGCTCGGAGGATGACGTCCTCTCGCCGTCAGAGATGTCTTCGATGTCGCCATCGTGCTCTGTTGACTCTTGGTCCTGAAGAGAAAGAGAAATGATCTAATAATATCAATTATCATCATCATTCAGGTCTCGCTGAAGAGACGAATGCGCGATTTCCACGTCGATAACTGGCGAGAGATGGCGCAGAAAAGACCGACGTGGAAATTAAGTCATCAAAATAATTATAATTCGTTTTTATTGTACCCTGCGTTAATTAACAGTATTTTCATTATACATTACCAGTGTAACTCTAAAGTATTTTCTTAAAAAAAGGAAAAATATAAACAAAAAGTAAAAAAATCAAAACACTATAAAGAAAAAAAAATCAGTAAAACGTCCATAAAAAATACACACAAAAAAGCAAAACAAAACGAACCTCATACTTAAAGCTGCCGAGAGAAGAATCGTCCGTGTGGTGCCGAGTTCGACTCTCCGTAGTCCGTGTTTTGGACAAATTTATCGTTACCTAACGGAAAATAATAATAAATAAAAAATAAGCAAAGAAAACATAAATTAAAAAAAAATAACGACATGGCATAGAAGCGTATTAACCTGAAATATTGTACCTAAATTGTACTAGGTAGTAACCAAATAGTCTTAATTAATTTAATTTAAATCCTTTAAATATTAGGCAAACGGATTCACATAGCAGCCGTTTGACATCAAAAGACCTACATGGGGACTACAATATTATTGATGGGGACTGCAATATTACAAATGAGGACCGCAATATTGCTAATGGGAACCGCAATATTGCTAATGGGACCACAATATTGCCGATGGGGACCACAATATTGCTGATGGGGAAGAAGTTTGTAAATAATGTAGGTGTTGTCTCATAATACGAAAATGTTTAGGCTTTCTAATTTACTGTTATTTAATGGATCATAAACTCGCTAAAATCATATTTTTGCCATACACTTCTATGCCTATGTCGTTATTTATTCTGATATTCGTTTATGTGGGAAGAAGTCTTTAAAAAAAGCTTTTTCCCCAAAAAAAAAGAAAAAATATTTTTTCTTTTTTTTTGTTTACCATAAATGAAAAATAAAGCGCCAAAGCCGACAGAGTGATGAGATACGTTACAGTGAGAAGGTGATGAGTGTGATGATGATTAGTTACAGGGTTTCTCAAACATGCCAAGTAAGATTAATAAAATAAGTTTGATCAACCCTGGATTAAGGTGGATATACACTGGAGCATTTTCTAGAGCATTTCTATTTAACCGATTGAGTCCCAGGACGGCATTAATTAATGTCATAACAATTGATTTTATCTATTGTGTCTAGATTCGCGGACCTTGAAGGATTAATGCAACCATTCTTATGAACGGTACAGTCAGCGTCAAATAGTTCGTGACACCCAAAGTAGCCAAAAAGTTCGCAACACGTCTTTATTACAATTGAAATAAGGTTGTGTTCTCAACTTTGGGTGTGATGAACTATTTGACGCTGACTGTAAAGGTAAAAGCTCAGTTTCCAAAGCACATTTTCGTTCGTAAAAGGGTGTTAAACTAGAAAATATTCATAGAGCGTCTCGTTGTTTTGTTACAAGTGAGTGCTCTAGTCTATACTCACCTTTAGAGTTTGAAGTCATGCATGATAGTTTGTAAAAGCGTGTCCGAAATATACTACGTAAATCAAATAATTACCCACACCATTTTAACTAATTTTAAAGTTAAACTCTTTCTATACTAATTGTTATATTTAGACCCAAATAACACATTATTCTTTCTAATACTAAATTATACCCTCTGCTTTACTTTCAAAATACACATAAGTACTGTTACTTACTAATTTTACGTTTTTAATGTACAATCTTGAACTTTAAAGACACATACAATTCACTATCATGAAAATAGCATATCTGTCTTTGAATTTTGAATTTACTTAAAACTAACTGTATGTATGTATGTAGTTCTACTATAAAAACTACTTGCTGTCATATTACCTAAATTACTTACTTTTTTTTACTGTCAAATACACAAAACAATGAAGTACGAGAATGAAAACTGGCGACATACAAAAGCCACAACACAATGCCAACTAAAAGAAAAATAAAACAAAAACGAAACCTTCTCAACTCTCGGAGATATCGTCAAAATGTCATAAGTTTTCCGCATCGTGGCGTCAAAATGGCGGAACAGAGCCTCGACTCGTGGCAGCTGGCTCAAGTTGAGCGATTTCGGCCTCTATTCACGTGGAAATAAACACCATAACCGTATGCAGTTAAGGCGATTCAAGTAGCCCGTAGGTGTCGCTTGAATCGCCCTTGAGTGAAAATAAAAAGTAAAGATATGTACAGAATGTAAAATCTGACGAATTTTTAATTTAAAACTGTGCAGAACAAAAAAAATACAAAGTTATTGTAAAATGCTAAAGATTTGTCACACATATCAGTTTTGTTTTTTTTTTTCATGTCACAACTGTCAAACTTTATTCGCCGTTAAAAACGCGTTTTTAAGTTTTTTATTCACAAACATTACTATGAGGTCACACAGTGCGCGTGGACGCACAGGGTGACACACAAACCAATCACAGAGCTCTGTTCAACGCTGTGCGTTCGATTTGCTGGTTCACTTAAGCAAGCATCGATTGTGAATACGGGCGTTAGAAAGAGACTTATCTTAAAAGCAGATATTTTTTTTAAAATACAAATCAAAATCTACACCTTCATGTAAAGTAAATCAGTACTACTTTTCGTCAGATTTTACATAGAAAATACACAATAAAATATACAGTATTTACAGTAAGAAACACCATCACCGTAAAAAACCAAAACCTTGTGAGTGATTAGACAACACAAATTAGTGATAAAGGGAAAAAATCTTGCTGTTATATCTAAATTTTGTAGTGTTCAACTATTGTTAGGGGGGTACTACGTTATTATTAGTTCATTTGAAAACGTATTGTATAATACTAGAGTGTAAATTATACTAATGCTTTAAATATTTTATACCACCATCCCCAAAAAATTGACTTTATTTTTACAGGAAATAAAAAATAGTGTAAATCCCAAAAATATAATAAAAGTGAAAACATTTAAACCAACATAAATAAGTGCTGAACATTTAACGAAACAAGGAAACTAAAATCATAACATTGGACACAATGTCAAAAACATTATTTCTGTTTGAAAAAATACTTTTCCGTTTAAACAAATACTGTTACTAATTGAACTAATTCTGTAACTGTTTAAACAAATACTGTTTCTTTTTGAACAAATAATGTTACTGTTTGAACAAATACTGTTCCTGTTTGAACAAATACAGTTCCTGTTTGAACAAATACTGTTCCTATTTGAACAAAAACTGTTCCTGTTTAAACAAATAAAGCTCCTATTTGAACAAATACTTTTCTTGTTTTAAAAAAAATACTTGAATACATTTGTACATTATTTGACGCATTTAAACGTTTATTAACATACCTGCTTAGCGCTCTGTTGCCGTTTCTCGATGTACCGCGTATCCGTGCCACTGTCTAAAGAGCTGTCTTTAGAGCCGTCCGAATCGCGTTTCTCTGAAGATAGAAAAAGTATTATTATACATAATTATGTATTTCAGTATTTCTTTATCTTATTTCTGCTTCGTCTAACTATCTCGTTGGTCCCACATAAAAAGTATTTAAACACGAGACTCTATCCTCTTTATGAACAAAAGGTTTTTTCTACACGCTGTATATCGAAACCTGTAGAAATGTTTTTCATTGGGACGACTTCTGAACGTCAGCGAAATTTTGACTGTCAAAATACGTGAATTAGGCCACTGGTTTTAGATGATCTGAATAAAAAAACTTCGGATAAGGTTGTTGGGAGTCCCACTCCCACAGACTCCTGGTCTGCCAGATTTTTTAGATGCATTAATATTTAAAGTTGGTTCTTTCACGTGATGTTTTATTACGTCAAACGTCAGCGAGACTTGTGCTTCAAACATATCTGCTAGGGCACATGACACTCCTTCATTTCAGTACGTAAGAACTTACTTAGAGACCATTATGCCTGTAATACATTACCTGCGGTGGGGTGTATCCTGGTAGCCCATTTGCCCCGGGCCGGGGGATCGGGGGCCGGCGTCTCTGGGGCGACCAGTTCGTCGCCTAAACTCTTCTTAGCCCAGGACGGGAGGCGGCCTATCCTTAACCTGTAGAACAATAAGTTCAGTATGAACAAATGGCATTTGTTGTGAATGTACCGACATAATTTTTTATTGCAAAGTCACAAAGTCAGTGTTGTTGATGATGATGATGGAAGTTATGGTCACTCTAATGATTTATTGAAGTACTAACATAGTTTCTTAAGCTATATTGCTAACACATGGATGTAAAATTTGTTCGAAATAAATGATGATTTATTTATTTATTTATTATTAAATGGTGTCGCTGATCATAATTATGTTAATCATAGCACAGCACAGAGTAATAGTATACTTTATATTGATGAATTTTGTCTCAGTTATTTTAAAAAAAGTCTACTTAACATCGTCAACAATTAACTGCAGTTTAACTTGCCTCAGAGTCCAGCACCCTTTCGTTCACATAGCAGTGAAATACATTGCAAGCTAATTTCACTATAATTACTCGGAAAAAAGATTCAAAATACACAAAACCTATTCAGTGATCCGTCACTGCTCGCTCGTGAAATCTTTGCGGATTAGCCGTGCCTAATATTAGTGACGATGATGAAGATGCTAATGTGTAGTTATTTAATTTTTAGCGTTAAGAGTTGCATGTTAGATGTTTAAGGGTAGGTATACCCAACATTGATGAAAAAAACGCTGGCCGTAAAAGCGTATTACACTTGAAAATTTCGACGGGTTCATCCAGTGTCTATGTAGCTCAGATAGAAGAGCAGTCGCCCGGCAAGCGAAAGGTCGTGGGTTCGATTTTCGCCTAAGGCAGTTAAATTTTTTCAAGTTATTTATAATTTTTAAAATACTCACGTGTAATCAGGAACCACGGGAGTGGTGAACTGTTTCTCTTCATACGGTAACTCTCGCGGTGGCGATCCGAGATGAGATTCGCTTTCACTCTCAAGACCGGACATGCCGTTGGACGCTGGTACTTTCCTGGAAGAAAATGTATTATTGAGATAAATAAATAAAATAATAATGTTAGTCATTTGGTGTAGTCGAGTGTATAAACTGGACTATTCCCACCGCTGCAACTCCTGTGTAGCCAGGATCTACAGCTTGACCGCCAATAACCCAACCAGTGAAGGTCAAGTGGTCCCGGAGGAAAGCAAACACACTGAGGGAAGTCAAACTTTGACTTCGACCTCCTCCCCTATTTTTACAAGCTTTTTACAAGCTTTATATTGACTTCACTTGTTAGTATGTGTGGGACAAATCTTGCAACTGAAATTAAGACCAGTTCTCCTCAACCGATTGAGCTGAAATTTGGTATACTTATGTAAGTACGATGACAATGCAATGTTATGGTACCATTGAGCTGGTCTGATGATGGAGTCAGGAGGTGGCCATAGGAACTCCTAAACGAAACGGCGGAAGCTTATCGAGTTTGGGTTCGTTGGATTCGTCTTCCCGAGCACTTTAGTGCTAAATGATGACCAGGACCCAGATTGAGATACAATACAACTAAAAAGTGTAAAATAAAATTAAAGTAAAAAAAACTTTTTTAAAAACAAGCTTTATTCTGAAATGCAGTTGTACTAAAACGAAAAAAATAATTGTATGCAATGTTCAAATAATTTCGAAAGCTTGTAGCGCAAACAGAAAAAAGAAGAATAAATTCCATGCGCGATACAAGCTTTCGAAATTATTTGAACATTGCATACAATTATTTTTTTCGTTTTAGTACAACTGCATCCCAACTAATATTATAAATGCGAAAGTAACTCTGTCTGTCTGTCTGTCTGTCTGTCTGTCTGTTACGCTTTCCCGCTTAAACCTCGCAACCGATTTTGATGAAATTTGGCATAGAGATAGTTTGAGTCCCGGGAAAGGACATAGGACAGTTTTTATCCCGGTTTTTGAAACAGGGACGCGCGCGATAAAGTTTTTCTGTGACAGACAAAATTCCACGCGGGCGAAGCCGCGGGTAGGAAAGCTAGTTTCAGAATAAAGCTTGTTTTTAAAAAAGTTTTTTTTATTTTATTTCCTCGTTAATTTCGTTGCGGATCCAATGTCATGTCACTTGTATAGATCGTATCCTCCACTCGGCCGCGCAATGTGTGGTCCCGGTCGCGCGGGGTGCGGGGAGTGTGGTCCGAGCAAGCCGTAAGGCATTACTGTAGTGTGCGTGTGCACTCATTGAGCATACAGGGTGGAAACGTTAAGTGATCTCACTCGATTATTTCTAAACTATACAAGATATTGAAAAACTGATTACTGATCCTGAAAGTGCTTCATGAGCTCTTTCAAACGGTACCAATAATAGGTTACAGAATAAACTGGATCTATCTGAAAATTCAATGTTTCCAGCTTCCATACTAAATGTATGCCAGACACACAATATTAGAAGTGTATTTTGTTTTATTGAATAATAAACTCTTAAAATAAACTCGTAAATTGTATTCTTCTTTAAAATTATTCATAATAAACATTAGTTTTAGGCTTTACTTGCTATAAAATTGTCAAGAGATGAGTGTCGTGAATGTGGTAGTACAAAATGTATGGAAGAAGGAAACATTGAATTTTCGGATAGATCCAGTTTATTCTGTAACCTATTATTGATACCGTTTGATAGAGCTCATGAAGCACTTTCAGGATCAGTAACTAGTTTATTGATATCTTGTATAGTTTAGAAATAATCGAGTGAGATCACTTATCGTTTCCACCCTGTATAGCGAGCACCGATAACACTCAAGCATTAGCGGATGAATGGTGGGTCTTCGTGGATGAAACGATCTATAATGATGTGTGTATACTCACTTGCCCTGCCGTATAGCCTGTTGAGCGAGTCTGGCTCTCATGGTGACCACCATATCATGGGGCACTCGCCACACAAAGATGCAGCCGTCACCTGATGCTGATACTAAGTGCTGGCAGTCAGGAGTGAATCTGGAATGATACCAACATTAATTATTATACGCGAAAATTGGGTAAAGAAAGGATTTGACCTAAATAAATGATAGATCATCATCATCGGGTGATTTAGTATCCACTAAAGGAACACGACCTTCTCTAATTTATGTACTAAAGTCCGGTCACTGTACGACGGGCGGTCGCGGTGTGCGAGCGCGACAGCAATATAATTACGCGCGAGCGATAAGGATGGGTAGCTTGGGGTCATTGGACGAAATTCTATCTGCTCGGCGACAGGAATTTAGAGGCAAATGGATGATTTGCCCTTAAGTAAGATTGGGTAGTTTAATTTATTTAAAAAAACATCTTTGAAAGAACGTCCACAGCTAGACAGGATTTAGACAAAACCAATCCTCCGCATCCAGGTGCATTCATGTTCTTTCTAGATAAACCCAGATTGTAGGTAGATTTTATTTATTTACATCGAGGAAGCTCTTGGCTTGCATCTGAAATATGATGATCAGGCCGAACGAAGGTGGAAACGAGCTTCGGCTGAAATTCTCAACCACAGAATTGGTTATTTGACTTCTAACTGGTATTAATATTATACTCACTTGAGCCCCGTGACGATTTCAGAATGGCCATACATGGTGGCCATACACTCTCCAGAGTAGTAGTCATACACGCTGAGTATCTTGTCTGTGCTGGAGGTGGCTAGGTAGATGCCACTGTGGCCCGGCGCCACTGTGATCCACTTACTTGAGTCCATGGTATGTATCGTTCATTCAGGTGCTCTAATGATGAGTCCAGGTGCCTCCCAGGGTCTCTCTAGGTGCTTTCTAAGTGCATCTAGGTGTTTCAAGAATGAGTGCACCCATGTGCTTTGTAGATTATATTACCAGATGCGTCTAAGTAAAGTCCGGTCGCCGAGCAGATAGAATTTCGTCCAATGACCCCAAGCTACCCATCCTTATCGCTCGCACGTAATTAGGTATATTGATGTTGCGACTGTGCGACGGGCGCCCGCAGTGAGTGTGCGAGCGCGACAGCAATATAATTACGTGCGAGCGATAAGGATGGGTAGCTTGGGGTCATTGGACGATATTCTATCTGCTCGGCGACCGGACTTTAGTAGATAGCCACCAATACTCACTTGAGCCCCGTGACGATCTCCGAGTGACCATACATGGTGGCCATACACTCTCCAGAGTAGTAGTCATACACGCTGAGTATCTTGTCTGTGCTGGAGGTGGCTAGGTAGATGCCGCTGTTGTCTAGCGCCACCTGTTGGGCAACATTAGAAATTAATCATCACTTCAGTATATCGTAATGAAAAAACATAAGTGTGTCCTAACTATCGCGAAGCTAGGTAAAAATCTTTTACTAACGTCTTTTGTAACGCTAGTGAAATCAAAATATACGGCTTTGCCATAAGTCGAAAAGAAAGTTCATCTGTCATAAGATCGGTAAAGAAATTGATAAGAATAAAATAAGAGCAAGAAGATAAAGATCGACTTCTCTCTAGTGCAAAGGCGAATGACAATAGCTGTCAATTTACTATAACCAGAAATCAAATCACATGTTTAATTAATACATTTAAACATCAGTATTTAGTACCAAAATCTTGATATTAACTAAAGGTGAGTATGGACTACAGCATTTCTATGTAAAGTTCTTGCGAATGGTAGGTACAATACAGGTAAAATGTTCGAGATTTAGTTCGTGACACGGTGATACACGTGTCGGCCGTTTGGTGTAGTGGTTCAGAACGGACTACTATGCCGAGAGGTCCCGGGTTCGATTCCCGGCCGGGCAGAAATTGAAATGATGAATTTTAATTTCTGTGACGGGTCTGGGTGTTACTATGTATAATATGTATGTATTAAATAAAAATAAAAAAAGTATATAAGTAGTATATCCGTTAATCTAGCACCCATAACACAAGCATATTAATTGCTTACTTTGGGGCTAGATGGCGCTGTGTGAGATTGTCCAAAGATATTTAAAGTCGGATTCTTTAGAAATTTCCCTATATGTAAACAAATATGGCCAAATGACATTAAAACATTTTTAATCTGTGCCCTAGTGAGGCGACAAAACCTCTCGTTAATCGCGGATTGAAATTATTGTAGTACTTACGTACCTATAGAAAGAATTTATAATGCTTTATAAAGCAATGCATTAAACAATTAATTAGTAGTACATTCAATGAAGAAAAAATACATTGTTGATTAAGACCCTATTTAAATCTATTTAAATGCAATCAGTAATAAAAATGATTGAATAATTGAAATAAAATCGATTAAATTTACCGATTATTATCTATGACTTACAGGTTTCAGGTTACAACACTGATGTGTCAGAGACAACATGGAGATAACACATAATTTTAAACTTCAAGTCAATTTGACAAGTCTCACAAATTTTCATCGTCCACATATTTTGCTAAAATAATTTGTTTAAAGATTGATTCCAAACTTGTATATCGTGAGAATAAAGTTGGTTTCATGGGCTTGTGAAATAATGTGTATGATATTAGGACCACGTAAGTGATTATGGTGTAATTGTGTGCAGAAGTGTTTGTTTACATTTAAGGAAATTTCTAAAGAATTTAGGTATATTTATATACTAGACATTTCATAGAGTAACTTCATACCTTTATAAGCGTTCCATCTTCAGCCGTGGTGCCTCTAAACGTTTTGGTGTGTCTGCCCTGCACTGCGCTGTACACTCGGACATTGCGGTCCTGTACAAAAAACATAGATTCAATATTTATATTTTACTAGCTGACCCGGCGAACTTCGTACCGCCTTAGTGTAGAGATTTTCTTTATATTTTTTTTCGTAAGAACCTTGTACAGAGTATTAGAAAACTACAAAAAAAAATTAGCCAAATCGGTCAAGCCGTTTTTATGTTATGTCGTGACAACGGAAAACGGGTTTCATTTTTATATACAGGTTGGAATTTTGTAATGCCACCTGGAGGGAAAGTACTCTTAATATTGTAGATAGAAAAAAAATCTAAAGAAAACATTCTTTTATTTTTGAAAAAATATAGAACTGCATTCAAAGATTTCCAAAAATTTGCTTGCTATACCCGGGAATCGAACCAACTAAAATCTGTTAAAAATTACACCCTGTATTTTTATTGCATCGATCGTTAGGGTTAAGTATAAGGATGAAATCTCTCTAACAAACTTGATAAATCAAATGAAAGGAAAACCATGAAATTTACAGAAAATTGTACGGTATGGTAGTGAATTTTCGAAAAATTTCGAAAATCTATGAATTCAGTTCTCTTTCTTTTCAAAAATAAAGGAATGTTTTCTTTCAGTAAAATTTTCTATCTACAGTATTTACTTTCCCTCCAGGTGGCATTACAAAATTCCATCCTGTATATAGATATCCTTTACATAATTTAGTTGACTAGTAGGTACGGCGGTCTGGTACCAGTAGATAACGAGTGAAAGCCAAGTTTATGCCAGACGAAAGTTAAAATGTCAAGGGATCCGTAATGACATGACTCACAAGTTTCAACTTTCGCCTAGAGAAAAACGGATTTAGATTGACAAAAAAAAATTAAGGTATCTTTTTCTGCAGCAACGACAGTGTGCATTTATTATGGGGACCTATAATGTGAACTGTTATCTACTTGCCAAAATTGCTAAAATTATATGCATAGTTGTCCCATTCTTGCAACAGTTATCATTGAGGCTCGGTATTGGTCGTGGTGTGATGTGAGCATTGGCCTTCCTTTATAAATGATCTCGAACCAGTAGTTCCTGACATTAGTGCGTTCAAGCAAATAAACTCTTCACTTTATAATATTAGTATAGATAATTAATCCGTAAACAAACTAGAGTCACTGACATAGCCCGACGGATTAGCAAGCTGAAGTGGCAATGGGCAGGGCACATAGTACGCAGAACTGACGGCCGATGGGGCAGCAAGGTTCTGGAGTGGAGGCCGGGTACCAGAAAGCGCAGCGTAGGACGTACACCTACAAGGTGAACTGACGACCTCATAAAGGGAAGGCGCTGGACGCAGGCCGCCACCAACCGGCTATTGTGGAAGTCATTGGGGGAGGCCTATATTCAGCAGTGGACGTTCTATAGCTGAAAATGATGATGATGAGATAATTAGAATATTACCTGACAAGCGGTGAGTATATGCCTGCCTCCCGCGTCCACCTCCATATCGTATAGAGTAGTTCGTCCCGACACGTTCTGACCCCGCGCGAATTGGTAACTACCGTCGGACGTCTGAAAAAACAAAGAAATAATTGTTAGTAGATTTATACAGCGCCATCTAGTCCAGAAGTATGCGAAGCTTGTACTTTGATGGATACTAAAGCCTTGTCCGTGAGCACGTAGAATTATGTCCAATGACCCCAAGCTACCCATCCTTATCACTCGCACGTAATTATGTTGCTGTCGCGCTCGCACACTCACTGCGGGCGCCCGTCGCACAGTCGCGACAGCAATATAATTACGCGCGAGCGATAAGGATGGGTAGCTTGGGGTCATTGGACAAAATTCTACGTGCTTACAGACCGAGCTTTAGACAACGGATATACATTTTTACGGTACAAGGATTAGAAAAAACCAATAGTGTCGCGTTGACTCGTCGTCTGATGTAACTGCGTGGAGTCGACTACGAAATAATATCAAAAGATTTCACAGTTTAGTAAAATACTGAAAGCAGTTGTTAGAATCAAAATGGCAACCACTAAGGCCCAGTTTTTTGATTCATAGTTAAAATAACTAATTGTTAAATTTTGCTACTAATGGTTAAATATTAACAAAATGTAAACAAATAGTTAAAAAATGTACTAAAAGTCAAGCTAACCATTGAGCGCATACATTTTTTTAAATACCTTCGCGAAGTAAAACTTTCTTGCCAAACTGCGGAAAATGGCGGAGGAAATACCTACATGATTTAGCATGAATTATATTAACTACTTATTTACCTCTCAGTGTCTTGAGGCAACTTAAAAAAGTACATTCTGTGTTTTTATTATTATTTAGGCAGTTAAATACTGCACAGTATTTAGTACACCATTTCCTTTATTTTCTTTCATCATACACAAGAATACGCGTGCGTGAGTCAATGTTCGCTCGTATGTGAGGCCTTGTCGAATAGTATCCTGTAGGTGGGCCATCGTGCGTGTTTTGTTTTCGATGTAAACTCGCGGAGATGAACAGGCCTGGTAGTACTTATTATTATTCTGTGCCATTAGTAACAAAATTTAACAATTAGGTAGTTATTTTAACTACGAATTAAAAAACTGGGCCTAAGCAGTATTACCGTGGCCTAAGTATGTGTCATGCTCTCAAAACGTAACGCTGGTATTCTACGGAAGTCGCAAGTTGGAAAGAGCCGTCATTGGATGGCATGAACATTAGCATTGTTATTACATTTAGCAGATATCACGCTCCAAAGAAAATTGAAATTTAATAGACTCAACGGGACTAAGCAGTGAACTCTAAACACAAGGGCTGCCACAATAGATCAAACCACAATAGGTCTAGTGGTAAGACCACCTGCTTCAGACGCAGAGGTCCCGGGTTCGATTCCCAGTGGGGGCAGATTTTTCCGTTGGGTTTGGTTGGTGGTAAGGCTTGTTCTAAGTCCGCCTGGCTAGCTACCACCATCTTACCTAAGTCTGTCGCCATAACAACAATGTTAACAGCATTGTTGTGTTCCGGCAGTTAGAGGTAAAGTAGCCAGTTCCTCCGTGGTTGAGGATTCCGGGTGAAGCTCGCTTCCACCTTCAGCCTGATCATCACTTACCATCAGGTGAGATACAGGCCAAGAGCTTCCTCATTGTGGATAAAAAATACATACTGAGCTGAGAATTACTCACCGTTCTAAGCTGTCGGAACAGTATAGTCTTGTCCGCGCCACATGAGACCATCTGCAAACCGCCACCCGCGTTCAGAAACCGCACCGCTGTGATGGACGACGAATGCTCGTCCAGGGTCTGCAGGATCTGGTAGCCCTGGAGTAGAGATGGTGATAGATTAGAGAGATGTTGGGTAGTGAGAATACAATGTGTACGGGGAGGTAGTAATCAAACTTTAAGAGATCTATGGAGTGTTTAATTGATAAGTGTCCCCCCAGAGCCTCCAGCGTCCCCCCAGAGCCTCCAGTGCCCCCTAGCCTCCAGCGTCCCCCAGAGCCTCCAGTGCCCCCCTAGAGCCCCCAGTGTCCCCCTAGAGACCCCAGCGTCCCCCTAGAGCCCCCAGCGTCCTCCAAGATCCCTCAGCGTCCCCCTAGAGCACCCAGCGTCCTCCTAGAGCCCCCAGTGTCCCCCCTAGAGCCCCCAGTGTCCCCCTAGAGACCCCAGCGTCCCCCTAGAGCCCCCAGCGTCCTCCAAGATCCCTCAGCGTCCCCCTAGAGCACCCAGCGTCCTCCTAGAGCCCCCAGTGTCCCCCCTAGAGCCCCCAGTGTCCCCCTAGAGACCCCAGCGTCCCCCTAGAGCCCCCAGCGTCCTCCAAGATCCCTCAGCGTCCCCCTAGAGCACCCAGCGTCCTCCTAGAGCCCCCAGTGTCCCCCCTAGAGCCCCCAGTGTCCCCCTAGAGACCCCAGCGTCCCCCTAGAGCCCCCAGCGTCCTCCAAGATCCCTCAGCGTCCCCCTAGAGCACCCAGCGTCCTCCTAGAGCCCCCAGTGTCCCCCCTAGAGCCCCCAGTGTCCCCCTAGAGACCCCAGCGTCCCCCTAGAGCCCCCAGCGTCCTCCAAGATCCCTCAGCGTCCCCCTAGAGCACCCAGCGTCCTCCTAGAGCCCCCAGTGTCCCCCCTAGAGCCCCCAGTGTCCCCCTAGAGACCCCAGCGTCCCCCTAGAGCCCCCAGCGTCCTCCAAGATCCCTCAGCGTCCCCCTAGAGCACCCAGCGTCCTCCTAGAGCCCCCAGTGTCCCCCGACACCTTAGTCACACCCTAGTGTCTTTCTAGCGACTCCCTACTCACTGGTGTCTTTCTAGTGACACCTTAGTCACACCCTAGTGTCTTTCTAGCGACTCCCTACTCACTGGTATCTTTTTAGCGACTCCCTTCCCTTGTGTCTTTCTAGCTACTCCCTAGTGTCTTTTTAGTAACTCCCTTCTCTAATGTCCCTACCTAGCGACTCGCCAGCCCCTCTAGTGACTCCTCAGCCCGTCTAGCGACTCCAAGAGCCCCTAGTGACCCCCTAGAGCCCCTAGTGTCCCCTAGAGCCCCTAGTGTCCCCCTAGAGCCTCCAGTGTCCCCCTAGAACCCCCAGTGTCCCCCTAGATCCCCCAATATCCCCCCAAGAGCCCCTAGTGTCCCCCTAGAGCCCCAGCGTCCCCCTAGAACCCCCAGTGTCCCCCTAGAGTCCTTCCAGCCCCCCCTAGTGTCCCTCTAATCACTCCTAGCGTCTCCAATCCTACCTGGTCCGCGCGGAACACGTGTATGAGCCGGTCCCGCGACGCCGAGGCCAGCAGGCGCGGCGAGGCGGCGTACTCCAGGCACAGGACCTCCGCGTCATGAGCCTCCAGAGTCCGTCCCTACACCCTAGTGTCTGTCTAGCGACTCCTTACTCCCTTGTGTCTTTCTAGCGACTCCCAAGTGACAACCTAGTTTTTTCTAGCGACTCTCTTCCGTAGTGTCTTTCTAGCCACTCTCTTCCCTAGTGTCTTTCTAGCGACTCCCTTCCCTAGTGTTTTTCTAGCGACTCCCTTCCCTAGTGTCTTTGTAGCGACTCCCTTCCCTAGTGTCTTTCTAGCGTCTTCCTAGAGTCCCCAGCCCGTCTAGCGACTCCCTAGCCCGTCTAGCGACTCCCCAGCCTGCCTAGCGACTCCTCGGCCCCCTAAGGTACACCCCGTCCCCCTAGTCCCCCCCAGTGTCCCCCAAGAGCCCCCAGTGTCCCCCTGTAACCCCTAGCGTCCACCAAGAGCACTCAGTGTCCCCCTGGAACCCCCAGTGTCCCTTAGATCCCCCACTATCCCTCCTAGAGCACTCACTGTCCCCCTAGATCCCTTATTGTCCTCACCTGGTCCGCGCGGAACACGTGTATGAGCCGGTCCCGCGACGCGGAAGCCAGCAGGCGCGGCGAGGCGGCGTACTCCAGGCACAGGACCTCCGCGTCATGAGCCTCCAGCGTCCGTAAGAGGGCCCCGGACGCGGAATGCACCCAGATGTTGCCGGCCCGGTCGCCGGACGCGATGTGCTGCCCGTCCGGGGATACGCGGACGCATCTGCATTGACGAAAAATAATATGTAAGTTCTTGAGATACAGATTGCAGAGTTGTGGGCTCCCTGAAATACGTAGAATTCTCATGGACCCAATTAAAACGTGGGGTGTTCGTAGACTTCCTAAACGCAGTGGTCGTGGACCCCAATGTGAAACATGAAGTGATCGCGGACCCCCTAAGATACTTAGGGTGCTCTTAGACTCCGTAAGATACATAGGGTACTCGCGATTCTCCAAAGATTCCTAGGGTGTTTACTGTTTGCGATCTCCTTTGAGAATCAGATGCTCGCGGATCCCCTAAGAAATATAAAGTGTTCGCGGACCCCTTAAGATACGTAAGATGCTCGCAGACCCCATTAATTATTTATGGTGCTAACGGAACCCAATTTAGCGCTAACAAATTGGAGAATTCTAGCCGAGAAGACTACGAATAAATTAATTATCTGGAGTCGTAGTGTGTTTACGTCAAACGCATTCGATGTCGACTGCGTCAAAGTGACATTAAATGTATGCCGGATGGTACAGCGCCCCTAGCGGAAACTTTCAAGAACTAAAATCTTCATACATTTTTTTAACGCGCTCGCTAGTGACGACGTTTGATGTAAACTCACACTAAGCCCTCTGATGACAAAAAGAAACGAGACTATTCCCACCTCTCGTTCCCACCACTGCAACTCCTGTGTAGCCAGGATCTACAGCTTGACCGCCACAAAAACCCAACCAATGAAGGTCAAGTTTGTCCCCGGGGGAAAGTTAAACTGTCATTGGACCCGCAACGAAATTAATCAGAAGAACATAGGAGGAGTTCGAAATTAAGGTTCGACTTCCCTCCATTGCAAAGCGGATGACAGGTGACAAACAAAGGTTTAAAACCTTTAAGAAAAGATTATGCACCACGGACAATAAATTAAATTAAGGGGGCCTATCTTATGAGCAATTAGCAACTACCTGCCAATAATATTTTTCACAAAATCGCTTAAAAGCACGGAAATTTTTCCTTGTCGCGACAAGATCGGTGTAATAAATTGCGGAAACAGATGTATGTGTACAGACAAAAAGAAAGCAGGAACGACAAAAATTAGGCTGGTTTTAGTGTCACGCGGACCGTCCGATGCGGACTAGCTCCGCACGGCCAATCTGTATGAACTTCTAGGGAGCGTTTTAGAGTAATGCGGTCCGGAGGAACCGCTCGCTCCCTAGCAGTTCATACAAATCGGCTGTCCGGAGCGATCCGCACTGACAGTCCGCGTGACACTAAAACCAGCCTCAAACTCACCGAACGCCAGTCTTATCGTCGTACGACTTTGCTTTGTCCTTCTCATTCGTCGCCGTCAGATCCACATCCTTAAGGAACTTCAGCTCGGGGTCAATGTACAGCACTTTGCACAGCTCCTGAAATAAACACGTTGTATAAAATAGTTTGCTGTTACACAATAACTCATGTATAGCCTGACCAGGAACATAAAAACCCTGGCATAGAGGCGCTTCAATTGCATTTGATAGTGCAACACTGAGTACAGTCGTACCTGTATTAAATTAATAGGCTAACTTTATGTATCAGGATTCAGGATTATAGGCTTATTTAATATTTTCATAAATTAACAAAAACGTATTATATTATAGGTAAACTGGTTTAAATAAATTAATTGAAACCATCAATCGAGCAAGTAGGATTTTATTATTATTCATAAATAATCAAATTCTGAACTTGAATATTCAACTACAATGTCTGCTCATGAACGCTTCGAACTCTGTACTTCTTTCCCAATTCCATAAAATTCAATACTAACAAAGTGACAAAAAACTTTAAAATAGGTAGTTGAAACAAACCACAGCTAATTTTCATAGTTGACTGTACTATACGATAAACATGTCAGTCAATCAGGAACGACAAAAATTAGGCTGGTTTTAGTGTCACGCGGACCGTCCGATGCGGACTAGCTCCGCACGGCCAATCTGTATGAACTTCTAGGGAGCGTTTTAGAGTAATGCGGTCCGGAGGAACCGCTCGCTCCCTAGCAGTTCATACAAATCGGCTGTCCGGAGCGATCCGCACTGACAGTCCGCGTGACACTAAAACCAGCCTCAAACTCACCGAACGCCAGTCTTATCGTCGTACGACTTTGCTTTGTCCTTCTCATTCGTCGCCGTCAGATCCACATCCTTAAGGAACTTCAGCTCGGGGTCAATGTACAGCACTTTGCACAGCTCCTGAAATAAACACGTTGTATAAAATAGTTTGCTGTTACACAATAACTCATGTATAGCCTGACCAGGAACATAAAAACCCTGGCATAGAGGCGCTTCAATTGCATTTGATAGTGCAACACTGAGTACAGTCGTACCTGTATTAAATTAATAGGCTAACTTTATGTATCAGGATTCAGGATTATAGGCTTATTTAATATTTTCATAAATTAACAAAAACGTATTATATTATAGGTAAACTGGTTTAAATAAATTAATTGAAACCATCAATCGAGCAAGTAGGATTTTATTATTATTCATAAATAATCAAATTCTGAACTTGAATATTCAACTACAATGTCTGCTCATGAACGCTTCGAACTCTGTACTTCTTTCCCAATTCCATAAAATTCAATACTAACAAAGTGACAAAAAACTTTAAAATAGGTAGTTGAAACAAACCACAGCTAATTTTCATAGTTGACTGTACTATACGATAAACATGTCAGTCAATATGACAAGTATGACAACCTTTGTCGGAAACATTATTCAATGAAAATATTGTCCGAACCCTTAGTATTTCTCTTCGACAAATACTTTAACACATTGTGAACCACTTTTCTTTCACGACTATAAAAAGATTTAATTCACAAAATCAATTGCGCACATTTAAAATAAAGTTTGTTTACACTTTGACAGCAATAGATTGACATGCAAGGTGACATGTCAATGAAGTTTTCCGTTACTGTTGCCAGTAAAAGAAATTAGTACCATTAATTTTCCGCAACATGGCGAGGGTTTTTATGTTCCTGGTCAGGCTATATATTGTCAACTTTCTCGTTAAAAAAATCATAAGAAGGTCCCAATTTCACTCTAATCCAACTGTTAAGTTGCTCAAGACACAGGGTGTAATGGGGGGTGGACCGTCGTAACTCAAACGATGGGGGACTTCAATACCTATCGAAACTAGAAGTAAGACTCGAGAGTCATGCTGTCTTCAACAATGACCTCTATATCCAAGGCAATAAGACTCAAATAAATATTCGGCGGCTGAGGCGGGTGTAAAGCCTGGTTCGTGAGCACGTAGAATCCCGTCCAATGACCCCAAGCTACCCATCCTTATCGCTCGCGCGTAATTATATTGCTGTCGCGACTGTGCGACGGGCGCCCGCAGTGAGTGTGCGAGCGCGAAAGCAACATAATTACGTGCGAGCGACAAGGATGGGCAGCTTGGGGTCATTGGACGGGATTCTACGTGCTCACGGACCAGGCTTTACAAGGCAATAAGACTCACATTGGTGTAAATATTCGGCGGCTGAGGCGGGTGTAGCCGCCAGGCACGCACTGTATCGTCGCTGGAACAAGTGAGGAAGGTCCCGGGGGGGTGGGGAGTCCCGCCGGCCATGTCCACGCCCCAAATGCACGCGGAGTGGTAGAGCGCGCTGTGCGACTTGCCCACCTGTGGGCAAACATTATAATGAAGTTAAAAAGTTTATTTTTAATGGCAACCAAACCTCTCTGCGAGGTTTTTTGCCTGTCCGCAAAATGGAGACTGACAAAAGTTGTTAAATCTACAAGTTCAACTATTGTTTATTTGGCTTCAACTTTTGGTTTCAATTCACTGCGTTTCACAACACTCTAGTAGCATCGATCAAATAAGAGCCTAATGCAGAGGACATAATTATTATGGTTTATATTCTTTTGACGCAAAATGCCACCCGGGTGACTCTGCGCGAGTCACCTGACTCTTAATCATATTTTTTCGACTTTATCACAAGTAAATAAAGTCCAAAATCAACTCACCCGCTTGATATCTCTCACGTCCCACACATACAAGCTGTGGTCGTTGTATACACACGTTAGTTTGTGGTTTCGTTCGTCGTATGTAACAGATACTGTGTCTTACAACAATACTCAAATACGACCTTAATGCTAAGGACATATGGTTCATATTCTTTTGACAAAATGTCACCTGACTCTTAATCTTATTTTTTCAACTTTATCACAACTAAATAAGGTCCAAAATCAACTCACCCGCTTGATATGTCTCACGTCCCACACATACAAGCTGTGGTCGTTGTACACACACGTCAACTTGTAGTTTCGTTTATCGTACGTAATAGATACTATGTCTTACAACAATACTCAAATACGACCTTAATGCTAAGGACATATGGTTCATATTCTATTGACTAAATGTCACCTGACTCTTAATCTCATTTTTGGACTGTATCACAAGTAAATAAAGTCCAAAATCAACTCACCCACTTGATATCTCTCACGTCCCACACATACAAGCTGTGGTCGTTGTACACACACGTTAGTTTGTGGTTTCGTTCGTCATACGTAATGGATACTGTGTCTTACAACAATACTCAAATACGACCTTAATGCGAAGGACATACGGTTCATATTCTTTTGACAAAATGTCACCTGACTCTTAATCTTATTTTTTCAACTTTATCACAACTTAATAAGGTCCAAAATCAACTCACCCGCTTGATATCTCTCACGTCCCACACATACAAGCTGTGGTCGTTGTACACACACGTTAGTTTGTGGTTTCGTTCGTCGTATGTAAGAGCAACCGCGTCTGGATACCGCGCGTTGGGAGGCTGGTTGAACATATGACTGGAATAGAGAAGTGTGGATTAGAATAGAAACATTGACTTGTTATGCGCAGTCGGTTAATAGTAATAATTAGGATAACAGTTATCGGTTTAAGGCTCGATTCGACCGGCTGGTGGGCGCAATTAAGGAATAGGCTTATTTAATACTATAGTTCCAAAATACTGAACTGTCCTATCCATGACATTGACAGTGGGGCGCCACCGTCAATACCAGATCGCTGGTTCCTATTTTTGCCATGTTGGAAACCATATAGTTGAACGATGGTGGCGCCTTCCTGTCATTGAGTTTGGTGGGACAGTTCAGCGTGAATCATCTATATCTTCGTCACACAAAGGAATATTTACTCCTTTATCTGTAGCATTAGTCCTATCGTATATCCAATAAGGGTGGATTCGACCAAACCAGAGTAAATATTAATCTCAGAATAATATTTCCCATACTGTAACAGTCAATGTGTCAGTTATACCAGGAGTTATTCTCGGATAAAAGTTTGGTCGAATCGGGCCTTAGTAACTAAACTACTCGCTACTGACCAAAAATAGGAGTAAGTCAGATTTTTAGGTTAGATTGACTTAGCTCCTTCAAAGCGATTTCTAGGGAGGAGGGGTGGATTATAATCATAGCTCTTAAGTGACTACTATCAACTTCGAATCGGTAGCCCAAATTCCTGGGGTGCCCTAACTACATTAGTACCTGATATTTGTTCCCTGTGCGACATCTACGCCTAAGTAATGTGTTCTGGGCAACGTGGTGACGTAACGCAGTGAATCCGGCGCGAAAACTCGCACGATTCCTTCCGCGCATCCAACGAAGATGTAGTTAGAACCGATGGCCATGCAGTTAGCTGAAGACGTCTGGGAATAAAAACATTATAGTATTAGGGCAGGGCACATAGTACGCAGAACTGATGGCCGATGGGGCAGCAAGGTTCTGGAGTGGAGGCCGGGTACCGGAAAACGCAGCGTGGGATGTCCAATTGTCCAACCACAAGGTGGACCGACGACATCATAAAGGTAGCAGGAAAGCGCTGGACGCAGGCCGCTACCAACCGGGTAACATGAAAAGCATTGGGGAAGGCCTATGTTCAGCAGTGGACGTCCTATGGCTGAGATGATGATGATGATGTACTAGGACAGTCGTATTGTACGGGAATATTCCTAGCACGAGATGTGGGATACGCTGCACCTCCTGTGTAGCTAGGATCTACAGCTTGACCGCCAATAAAACCCAACCAGTGAAGGTCAAGTTTGTCCCGGGGGAAAGTTAAACTTGGTTTATGAGATTTTAGAGTACTATTATGAAAGTTTATTAATGGGTGGACGTTTGTTTCACCTTTATCGTCATATTTTTTTCCTCCTGAGATGGAGGACCGACCCATAAGTGGCACAAGCCTGATCTCATAGCATTTTATGCGCTATATGGCTACAATAAGGTCGATTTTCCTCTACTAACCTTACCTTTATGCACTAATTAGTCTACTATAAGGTCCATATTCTTCCACAGAACTTACCCAAAGCTCTTCGTACACACCAGAGCACAGTCTGTCATTTTGTCCGTTATTTATCCTACTAATATTACACATAAGGTTCAATTTCCTAAAGAAAACTCACCCTAAGCTCCACCCACTTGTCCAGCAACCTCCTGCTGTTAAATTCACACAGCAGCCCTCCTCTAGTAATGGCATACGTGCTATCACTAGCCGCTCCTCGACCACAGACTACGTCGCAGAACTCGTTGTCTTTCTGCTCTCCCAAGATGGCCGACCGACCCATAAGAGGCACTGGTTCTTTGAACTGGAAATGAGGTAAAAAAAAGTTTTATAAGTAAAGTCATTCAAAATTAATTAATAAATTCACAATTTTAAATAAAACATCTTAAGAAAATGTTTTGAAAGTGCCAAAAATGTCACATCCCGATTTTTTTTACCCGTTAACCCCTCGCGGTCTAAATATGCTTGTGTTACGAGTGGGTTCACCACAATAGTTAAGCAGCGGCAGGATTCGAACCCGCGTTCCTCGGATCTGACCTGACACCGACAACATTGGGCTATTGTCACATAAATCATTTGCATTTTAATTAAATAAATAAATAAATGGACTGTTAAAATGTTAACCCTTTAACGAACACACTCCCCCTTATTAATAAAAGTTACAATCTAGTTGGACTCTGGCTTAAATTGTCATTTAGTATGGAAATGTCATTTTAATCCGGAGTCCATCCTAGGTGTAACTTTTTATTAATAAGGGGGATAAAGTCTAAACTTATCATTGTTTTTGGACCTTAAGACAAGGGTATAAGGTTAAAAATATGTTAAACTGTCAAGTATCTCACCTTAGCACTTCTCGAGTACTCCAAATACCAAAACTTGACATGCCTAAAGCCAACGGTAACAAAATAGTTGCCGCTCTCAGAAAAACTGACAGCCTTCACGCGAGATGACACCTGAAACAGAAAAAATGATTTGTTAATTATCATCAGGTCATTTAGTCTCCACTGCAGGAGTATGACCCTCTCTTCTAATTTACCAGAGGCAAATGGAGGATTTGTCCTACACTCCCCACGCTGGCCAGACGGGTTGGGGAGGCCTGATGTTCGCATATTTGTTCCTTAGTCGCCTCTTACGACATCCACGGGACGAATGGGAATGGTAATACAAACTGATTGAAAGAATATTCTTACACATCTATCAATATTTTAACACATATTTTTCGGTTTATCCAAATTGACAGAGATAAAGCACGCCAAAGCTCAAAAGTAGAGACTCGTGACGCAAAAAGTGTAGCACGGCGTGACGTCACGCGGAATGTCAACGCACCATAACTTCTTTATTCTTGATTCACTTGTTTGATTAACAGATAAAAATCTTCGTGTTTTATTGACGGACTAAATATATTTTTGAAGAACCTAGCCTATTTCATATGTAAATACCTCACCATCATCATCATCATCATCATTTCAGCCATAGGACGTCCACTGCTGAACATTCAACATAGGCCTCCCCCAATGTTTTCAATGTTGACCGGTTGGTAGCGGCCTGCGTCCAACGCCTTCCTGCTACCTTTATCAGGTCATCGGTCCACCTTGTGGGTGCGCTGCGTTATCCGGTACGTGGCCTCCAATCCAGAACCTTGCTGCCCCATCGGCCGTCAGTTCTGCGTACTATGTGCCCTGCCAATACAGAAGTTACTTCCGCATTTATAACATTAGTAGGGTATACTCACTTTATTACTGGCCAGTTTCAGGTTGGCTCGCCAGTCCCACACATTGACGATCATGTCGTGCTGCGACCCAACCGAGACTAGATACTTGGACGACGTGGAAAACGCCTGGAAATGGAGAAAATATTGTGATTGAACAGATCTTGATACTATAGTAGTATGGTTGAAATTGTCGTTATAGTAGTCAGGTGGCAAGGCCGTGGTTAGCTAAACCATCATAGATTTAATTATAATAATGTACCTTAATGTAAAAGAAATACTATTGCAAATGCAATGAAAATAGTTTGACAAAGTCGTGGTTAACTGTGACAGTCACCATTGCAATTTCAATCGCAGTATTACCAAATTAAAGAACATTATTCGTCACCTAATAAAATCTTGCTTTTAATTATTGAACATCATCGGCATGTAATTAAGATCATCTTTAATCAAAAGATAGCTTAAAGAAGTCAACACAGCTAACTGTACAGTCGAAAGCACATGACAACGGCTACTCCGAAATTTGATGTGCTAGTATACATACAAACTGTCCATTATTTATAAATATATTGAATTATTTACCACACAGCTGACTCCATGCGTGTGACCCGGGAATTCCCCTATTTGTACGGCACCAGACGCTGTCGGATCCTGCAATGCAAATGACAAACAATTAGTACTCAATATTAACCAATAGATGGTGCTTACTCATGGTAATAGGAGTTTACTGAATTGCGTTTTGCTGTTCTCGCTTCCCACCAATAGAGGGCGTTAACTCAATATTTACCGGCAGACCCGAACCCGTGTCCGCGTTCTCCCGTTAGGAACCTTCCATCGGAAGATCAGGCGACACACGTGACCCTCTTCCGCAAACGATACAACACTATGTAGCTGATCATAAGCTCCGCACCGTCGTTCTCGATTTTCACCAACAGATAGCGCTAAGCGCTATCTCAGGAGTTCAAGATCCCTGTTTTAACTTCCCACCAACAGATGGCGTTAACTTAACACTTTATTATTTACCTGTAGATCCCACACCCGCATAGCGGGCGCGTGTCCGTATTCCCCCGTAGCCAGGAACCTTCCATCGGGAGAGAACGCGACACACGTGACGCTCTTCCCAGCATTTAGTATATGTGACCACCGACAGATGGCGCTAACTTAACAATTTATTAATTATCTGTAGATCCCACACCCACTATATGGCCGCACTCCCCCGTGACTCTTTTTCGCGAATTTTCCAGACCGCAGCGTCGTTTTCGCTTTTCACCAACAGATGGCGTTATCACAGGTCCCCCAGTTTTAACTCCCCACCAACAGATGGCGTTAAATTACCTGTAGATCCCACACCCACACAGCGGGCGCGTATGGCCGCACTCCCCCGTGACTCTCTTTCGCAATGTTTCCGGGGCATAAGCGCCGCAGCGTCGTTCTCGATTTTCACCAACAGATGGCGCTAAGCGCTATCTCAGGATTTCAAGATCTCTGTTTTAACTTCCCACCAACAGACGGCGCTAACTTAACAATTTATTAGTTACCGACAGATGGCGTTAAATCAACGTTTACCTGTAGATCCCACACCCGCACAGCGGGTGCGTGTCCACATTCCGCCGTAGCCAGGAACCTCCCATCGGGAGAGAAGGCGACACACGTGACGCTTTTCCCAGCATTTAGTACATACGACCACCGACAGCTGGCGCTATACTAGGCTTAAAGTTCCAACCACCCACTAATAGATGGCGTTAACTCCAACAATTACCTGTAGATCCCACACCCGCACAGCAGGCGCGTGTCCGCATTCCCCCGTAGTCAGGAACCTTCCGTCGGGAGAGAAGGCGACACAAGTGACGCTCTTCCGCAAAGCATTTAGTATATGTGACCACCGACAGATGGCGCTAACTTAACAATTTATTAATTATCTGCAGATCCCACACCCACTATATGGCCGCACTCCCCCGTGACTCTTTTTCGCGCTTTTCACCAACAGATGGCACTATCCCAGGTCCCTCTGTTTTAACTCACCACCAAAAGATGGCGTTAAATTACCTGTAGATCCCACACCCGCATAGCGGGCGCGTATGGCCGCACTCCCCCGTGACTCTCTTTCGCAGTTTCCGGAGCATAAGCGCCGCAGCGTCGTTCTCGTTTTTCACCAATAGATGGCGCTATCTCCGGTCCCCCTGTTTTAACTCCCCACCAACAGATGGCGTTAAATTACCTGTAGATCCCACACCCGCACGGCGGGTGCGTGTCCGCATTCCCCCGTAGCCAGGAACCGTCCATCGGGAGAGAAGGCGACACAAGTGACGCTCTTCCTTGATGCATTGAGGACGTGGGACTGCCTGTTCTTCCTGACGTTGTACAGGACCACTGTGCATCTGGAAAGATTGGAGAGAAGACATTAAAAAGGCGTTTAAAGGTAGGGTCTTCTATTAAAATTAAACACTAACGCCCTTATCACAAACATTACTATGCGGTCTCACGGTGCGCGTGGACGGACAAAGTGACACATGAACCAATTACAGAGCTCTATTCAACGCTGTGCGTACGATTTGCTGCTTCATTTAAGCAAGCATCGTTTGTGAATACGGGCAAAACTTTCGTTCGTGGGAATATGAGCTGAAAGACAGTTCTTCTCCAATAATTATTATGTTGTTATTTTAATTTGGGCATTTTTTGTATATGTAAATATTGCGAATAACTTGCAATTTAATGTTTTCAAAAGTACTACAAATCATATTTTACGGTCAATTGAAAACTAATTCATTGGATTTATTGGACTATAATTTTTATGAGTTACTTTAGAATATAATAATTAATGTTTATCAATTTACATCTACATGTATATGTAGGTAAAAGTTGTGCCTTGATATTATTCGTTTATAGCAGGGGTGGCCAACTGGTCGATCGCGACTATTAGTCCAGTCGATCGTGGCAATGTAAAAAATACTACATGATTGTGTACTAAACTATGCTGTTTCATTTAAGATTTCAAGAAGTATGTAAGCGGTAAATCGCCCAGGGTTTCGTTAGTAAACAAGATCTTATGTCTAATCAAGTTGGCCACCCCTGGTTTATAGTGTCAACTACTAGATCTCAATACCCTGCCCCAATTACCAAGATAAACATAACCATCAGGATTTCCCTACTCGATACAACATTTACACATCCAAAAACCGATAGCCCCACGTTAACTACACCATAAAATCCCCATAAGCGTCTGCCTTTCACCGCACGTGTTTGTATGGTGTTTTCCGAGCGTTCCATGGGGCCGTGGGACTCTGTCCCATGCCCAGCGAATACTAACAAGTTGGGTAGGCTATGGTGATAGGATGAGCGATGAACGGAGGTCAAAGTAGGTACATAAAATTCGCGCTAGGCTCTACCTTTTAAAGCACAAGTACTTTAATGAAAAAGAGCTACTTTATAAGTCGATGATTATAAAAAAGAATAAAAAAGTTTGGGATATTTAACTGCCCAATTAATATTTATAACTTTGTATATTTTAAAGACTGTAAACCCTTGAACTTGAAAAAGAGGCTGACAATAGTGTCATGGAAAACATTGGGGGTGGCCTATTTTCAGCAGTGGACGTCCTATGGCTGAAATGATGATAATGATGAATAGTGACTGAGTTTCTTGCGCTGCTTCTTCTCAGCACTGACACATTTATTGTCCCGAAGCAGTGGTAGAGTTAATACTAGGACGTGTAAAAGTGGCTTTTAAAAGCCTACTTGCAAAATTAAAATGTGTTTTATGAGATTTATCGCTGAGGCTTTTCAAATCGCCTACCGCTCCGCTCACCACAGTACCCGCATCGTACTTCTAATCTAATGCGACTGTCAATACAGCCCACGTTATACTGTACTGTACGGTAGTCGCTTAAACAATCGAATGTAGAGTCCGTTTACTTGCTTTGATTACGCATAAAATGTATTATTCTATGAGGGGATCCGCATTTTTTGTTAACTAGCGTACACTATAGGTCAAATCCATTGTGAGACTTGTTTTAAACCCACTCCTAAATTAGATTACTTAGAGGGTTCAACAAGGATATACCCATTGGCGTATCTAGGGTGCAATTAGTATCATAAGTATGTAGATTTATTCTGTAAATTGTATCCCACCAAAAACATTCTGTAAAAAACTAGCCAAGTCTCGATGGAGCTGCTTGTTTATCTCTAAAAAGTAATGAAATCTAGACAAAATCGTGCCAAGTCTATGGTTCCTTACTGCGATTTCTTTATTATTATAGTTAATGTTGTGTGACTTGGCCGTTGAAGGGTGACAAAACCAGGTGCTCCATGACACCATTGCACCAATCTGTTGCCAGAACCGCTACCCATTGACGATGGAAAATTTCCACTTGGAAAACGTTGATTCAACAATAGCCAGTCAATTGTAGGTTTAGTAAAGCTGCGTATTTATAATACTTATGTATGATTATCTTAATAAAGATTGTTCAAGAACACTGTCACACCCACAATAGGGAAAGGGAACTACCATCCCAAGAGACACCCTGTAGACGGCAGAATTTTTGTCGGCCGATAGTTTGGGGGGCTGTTAATCACTATGAACATGGTATGAAAGCAAATTACATGGATTTGGTATCGGCCGATTTCTCATACAAATTAGAAACCGACCAAACTATAATATCGATCGATTAAAGTCTGCGAGGAGTCTAAGGGGTCCACTGGACCCATGAACTTTGGTTCCTATGACGAGTGATTTGAAGGCTGATGATGAAGTTCGTAAAGTAAAACATTTATTTTAAGGTACACTAGTAAACTTCAATAACTTCGAACACCTATGCTATGTTCTACTGATTAATTTCGTTGCGGGTCCAATGACAGTTTTACTTTCCTCCGAGACCAACTTGATCTTCATTGGTTGGGTTTTTATTGGGGGTCAAGATGTAGATCCTGGCTACACAGGAGTTGCAACGATGGAAACGAGAGGTGGAAATAGTCCCGTTGATTGGATTTTTATTGGCGGTCAAGCTGTAGATCCTGGCTACACAGGGGTTGCAGCGGTGGGAACGAGAAGTGGAGATAATCCCGTTGATTGTATTTTTTTGGTGATCAAGCTAGATCCTGGCTACACAGGAGTTGCAGCGGTGGGAACGAGAGGTGGGAATAGTCCCGTGACAATGACACATCTTAGCCGGAGTCAATGCACTGATGACGTCGTGCCCGTTACGGTGACATTGTTTTTTTCGTCATTACAAACGCGTCATTGTCTGACGGCTGGCGATTGAGTTATAAATAGTACGGTTTAGCGAAGAACGGTTTTCCGTTAAACTGAATGTAGCTGTCGAGATGAGAAAAAATGGTTTAATAACGTCCAATTAGATCTTTTTCTTTTTCGTTCGTTAGAAGCAAAGACCTCCGGAGTTGGACAAAGTTTATTTCGCCTTTTTCTCTTCAGTTCTTTTCCTAATTTTCTTTCTCACATAATTTTAACTAGTTGACTGTTTTTTAGCATTGATTGAATCAATTTTGCTCGAGTGGTTCCAGCATGCAGGCAAGTATAAGATTACTACCAATGGGAATCCCACTGAAAGAGTGTCAATCCCTCACCCGTGGATGTCATAAGAAGCTAGGTACTAAGAGTAAGGAACAAATAAGCAAACATCAGGCCTCCCATCCCATCGGTCTGGCCAGCGTAGGGAGTGTTGGCCAAATCTTCCATTTGACTCTAGTAAATTGGAGAGGGTCGTGCTCATGCAATGAGGGTTTTCGCGATTGAAAAATCCGCCAGATGGCAATACGTAGACGGGAGGTCCAAATGCTGCATGATTGGTGGATTTTGACATATCTGTCAATGTCATGTCAAAAATAACCAATCATGTTTTTTCTTTACAATGTCCTTCCCGAAAATCTCTTTGTATACTTAAATTTTAGTGTCACAAATACAAAACTGCTGATTCACAAGGTCATTCACACTAAGGTGTGGCCTGCATGTTCCCTTTTGTGTTGTATGACTCAACGGGTAGGGCTTTGCCCCCTCGCATAGGGAATCAGGATATTATTATAATAATGAACGGGAATGGCGTAACTATAATTTGATGGGGCAATCATTTTATAGGGAAAAAGCACAACAAACGGTAATTTTATGGGGCAATCAATTTATTGCCTGGAAAAATTACAACTATTGAGAATAAATACATTTGAAAAGTATAAATAACTTGAAAAAATCAAAGCCTATGCGCAGACCATCGATTTTTCGTCGGTCGATAGTTTAATCGGGCAGTTGATCAGTATGGGCATGTATGAAAGTGCACACATTACACATTATACCCGACTAGGGTTGCCAGGTCCAAAAACACAAAAGCCGGACTCTGTGCTTCATTTGGCCAGACATTTTACCCTATAAGCCGGACATGTCACGAGGGGGCAATTAGTGTCATAACTCACGAGTGAGTACTACCATCATCGGTTGCCTAACATCCTGATGCGTGCGCTTGATATTCTCGACTTTAGCTTGGTGCAGCAGCCACATAAAAAGCCTAACAAAAGCCGGACAGGCCGGACAAGCCAATATTTGGCCGGACAAGACCGTAAAAAGCCAAACATGTCCTGACACCTGGCAACCCTATACCCGACTCGCACTTTACCTATTTCATTCATTTCAATCGCACTTCTGTCTCGTTATAATTTCTGTATAAACAAACAGCTCGTGGAAACTTATAATAATTTAGTGTTATACATTATTTATTAGTGAAATTAAATATTTATTCAACAGCTGATTATTTCCTTAGTAAAGGAAACAGAATAAAAATATTTCAATAAAGTAAATAACCGGAAAATTGTTATTTAATTGCAAAGTAAAATTTTAAGAAATTAGATTGTTTCAGTATATTTTTATTACATTAGATAAATACATTATTATGTTATTGATTACTTTAAATTCAAATTAATATCAGTATAAGCTACTTTCAGAGCTGTTACACATATTTGAACGCAACCAATGTTATAAAATTATAAATAGAAACTGCCTTTTTAACCGACTTAAAAAAAGGGAGTAAGCACGCAATGTGATTGTAGATTGAATTTGGATGTGCTTACGCCCGTATTCACAAACATTATTATAAGGTCTCACAGTGCGCGTGGACGCACAGGGTGACACACGAACCCATCACAGAGCTCTATTCAACGATGTGCGTTCGATTTGCTGCTTCACTTAAGCAAGCATCGTTTGTAAATTTATACTAATACTAGCTTTCCGCCCGCGGCTTCGCCCGCGTGGAATTTTGTCTGTCACAGAAAAACTTTATCGCGCGCGTCCCTGTTTCAAAAACCGGGATAAAAACTATCCTATGTTCTTTCCCGGGACTCAAACTATCTCTATGCCAAATTTCATCAAAATCGGTTGCGAG